CAAAGATTTGTATAGCTAAGAAAAGTTCCCACAAATATTGCAACAATGGGTGTCATGTATTAGCTTAATTAACTCAATTGAATTCATATATTCTTCTACTAACACTCGATATCGACATATATTCAATGCAGTGACAGGAGTGTACTCTTAGTTTCAACACATAGTGTATATTGCTAAAATACATATTCTTCAAGTTAGCTCTCTTAAAATATTTATGAGGCAGCTAGGGTGAAATTCTAACCACAGAGAAATTACATGGATTTTTGGCACAAGGATTCGGAGCGCAGCCACGAAAACATCCTTGGTGTGTGCTTGACAGGGCTGTGCGTTTTTCTATCTACGTGCCCAGTCGCGTGATTGTTTTGCGCGTAAAAACGCACAAACTATCGAGTTGGGTGAACGTGAATTGCTCTCGCGACACCAGGACACCAGTATGTTTAAAAGCAGACACTCTTACAGGGCGACAAGGGATCAAAGGATAATCTCGTGCAGTAAACAGCCAAGGAATAACATCACGACAAGAGGCTTGCATGACCGAAGGATAGATCACGTAGCGCAACGCGAATCTTTAAAAGATGCAATCAACGCACACAGCGACTGTTTCTTACGGTGATATAAAATAAGCCACCCCAAAACATACCTGCCTATCGGGACACTGGTTTGTCATCCTCGCTGTGCCAACAAGCCGCCCGGGCCACCGCTTCCTGCATACCATTTGTCACACAATGAAGTAACCCAGTTACGTAATTCAGCGACTTTCTTCAATTTACCGAAGTTTTGACATTGGCTGAGCACTCTTCAGTCGCCCGTCAAAAAGCTCACGCTCTCGCATAACATCAGTCACTTGTTGTCACAGAAGGGGTCGTGGATTGTCCTCGGAAGTACACTCGCCATTGAATCACGTGAACAACACGAGTAATCGATAAATGGAGGAAGAAATCACTTTTCAGAGCGAACACAAGGCGCGCGTCCGATGTGGCTGCTTGGAGCAGACACGTACGGCGAGTCATCGTCCGCCACTCGATCAAAGCAGCAGAACTTCACGACACGCGGAAACTATCCCGTAGACGAATTTTAAAGGAGGATATGTATACAATGCACGCAATATCTATCAACACGACAATTATGTAACCGCGGACTTCCAGCACATGTTCTTGCGTGAAGCTGGTGGTGAGCCTGCAGTACAACGAGGCCTGTTGCAACTGCTGATTTACAGGCTTACCAAAAATAAGTGTGCAGGTAGCAGCACTAACGTATCACTATAGAAATAATTTACAATAACGATCAAGTGTATTCATACCTTTTTAAGCCAAATAAAGCTTTCCTAATTATTAGTTTGCAATATATGCAGTTATACAGTTGTATGTATTTTGTTTTGCATAACAAAAAAGGTTTTCCAACTCATGTCAAAAGCAATGGTCATCTCTGAGTCTCTGCAACACAAGGCCAATAAGTACAGATCTCAGAGGCAATGCTTTTGCAGCTCCGGCTTTGTTCGTGTGCAGAAAAGAATGAGTGGCATGCATTCCTGCTCTGCGGAGAAGGGTATCTGACTGGGTGTCCGTTCCTTTACGTCTCGACGCAGTGGCGTAGCCAGGGGCTGTCACACCGAGTCCGTTACCCCTTTCTGCCCTCCCCCTCCCCACGCCTTTCGGGCAATTTTTTTTTCAGCGTGGCATACATAGAGCAAAATGACTGTTTGCCTGCTCCCGCCCCCCTCCCCGAGATCAACGAGGATTCCTTTCCTTACCCTCCCTTGTTTTTTCTTTTGTTTTTTACCTACGCCGCTGTCTCTACGTGACAGGTAGCGTTGTGACAGCAAAGCAGTGGCGGGGTGAGAGGCATGAATGCTCATTAAAACTTCTCTCTCCCTCTCCATCACGCCTTCGCTCTCCACCACCTACCGGTGGCGGGGAGGCGGCAGAGGGGCACACATTTTCCAGCTGCCGCTCCCAGCCGCATTTTTGTTGTAAAAGTGTGACTGATATTTAAATACGCTTTCAAACGCTCACTACAACGATACGATGAGTTCACCTCCTGTGTTGCCCTCAGTGTCCACTGAGCCCCGCCGCAGTGGTCAAGTGCCTGAAATACTCGGCTGCTAACCCGCAGGTCCCGGGATCGAATCCCGGCTGCGGCGGCTGCATTTTCGATGTAGGCGGAAATGTTGTAGGCCCGTGTGCTCAGATTTGGTTAAAGAACCCCAGGTGGTCGAAATTTCCGGAGCCCTCCACTACGGCGTCTCTCATAATCATAACGTGGTTTTGGGACGTTAAACCCCACAAATCAATCAATCATCGGTGTCCACTGATCGGGTAATGTAACCCCTCCATGCAAATGGCAAATTGGCACGTCTATGCAACTGTTTGGGGTACCGCTTCAGCGTTAGTGATCGACGCTATGCTTGTTAGTTTTAAACACATATTCAAAATGTGTATGCGCGCAAGGTGGTGGAAAGCACCTCTGAATGCCCCAGCAAAGTTTGCCTCCACATCGCGCTTCTGGCACGAATATCCAATCAATAATAATAATAATAATAATAATAATAATAATATAATAATATAATAATAATAATAATAGTTGTTCTTGTTTTAGATGCGCCTGTACAACCTTATAATTGTTTCTGGGCACGCTACACGAATAAGTAAATAATAAATCATTGATAATTAATGAAATCACAACTTTGATGCATCGTTAAATGTAAAATTTGACCGTTGGCAGCGTCTCGCATCCTGCAACGAAGGCAACAATAGATGCATGCAAAAAATAATCACCACGAGATGACGTGTCAGTATAGCGTCACATGATAAAGTCATATTACATCGCACCCAATCCTGGCTGGCTGGCTGGCTGGCTGGCTGGCTGATTGGCTACGCAAAACGGCGTCTTTAACCGGGGAGGCAATGCATAACCACATTAGTTGCAGAAAGTTTTTGAAGGGTGGCAGAATGAACACAACGACTTATTGGAAAAAAGAAAGAGATGGCTATTGCCTTCGAGTTGTCTTACGTGAATGCATAAGAGACCCTGAATTATTATTATATTATTATTATTATTATTATTATTATTATTATTATTATTATTATTATTATTATTATTATTATTATTATTATTGTCTAGCTGATTTACACATTCTCTTTAGGTCAATGTTATATTTACTGAAACATGATCGAAAATTTATGGGAATACAAACTGTTTAGTGTTTTAGATTTCCGAAAGACAACATGTACGTGAATGTCAAGGTCAGCAAGTAATTGAATTAGACTTAGGTGCACGTTAAGAAATCACAGATCATCGAAATCTCTGAAGCACTCCGCTACGGCGTTCTTCATTATCATATTGTGGTTTTGGGATCTAGAATTCCCGCGATTATTACATTTAGTAGTAAGAAATTGAGTTTTTGTTGGCTCTAAAAGATTAACGAAAATTTTTTTTTCCATGTGATGTGTTTTGACATTAGGACACGAAAGTCTGCGTACTTTGATCATCAGAAATCCTGGTGCATGTTGTCATCTGAGTCTCTATTGCACACCTGATGATAAAAGACATTAGGCTTTGCTGGTCTAATGCCAATCTAGTGACTCATTAGGTGTGCATTAGCTGCACATTAGACTCTCAAAGTTCATTTTCATAAGGGTAGCAGCACTGGGCTGCTAACCCGCATGTCACTGGATCGAATCCCGGCCGCGGCCGCGGCATTTTCGATGACGGCGGAAATGCTAGAGGCCCGCGTGCTTAGATATAAGCGGTCGAAATTTCCGGAGCCCTCAACGATGGCGTCTCTCATAATCGTATATTACTTTTGGGGCGCTAAACCCCAGCAATTACTATTCTCAACTAAAGCGTTATTATTTACTGCGCACACGCTGGTAATCTATTACGGTGCGGTTCTGATGCTGCCTAAAAGTGTGAATTCCTCGTGCATGTTTCTTCATGCCACCGCGTGATCTACGTTCACTTTTGCTTCTGTGATATCAGCTGGTAATGAGAATCATTTAACTCGCTAAAACCACGATATGCAGGGACTCTGTCTATTCCGACCATTTGCTGTTTGCTTGCTTTGACTGTACTCGTCATACGTCAGTATTCACTAGTCAGTCGGCGTTACTGATACTTCAAGTTTTGCCCTCAAAAAACGTCGTTCTGCTGCACTATGAAAAGCTATAATTTAATAAATGCTGCACATGCAAATTATGTGGTATGCGGCAGGCACTGGCTTTGCACGTCAGCTACATGCGGTTTGGAAATCAGCTGTATTGACGCTCACCCTACATCTGCTGCTTGCAGCCAAACTCGCTGGGCCATGCCAGGGTCGAGAATAGGAGGTAGGCTTCTAGCCGAATTTAGTGCCGGTACAAACGGTACAAATGAATCTTGCACTTGTTGCGCATTCCTTCATGTGCTGTCCGCACAAGCCTTTTCAGAGTTTATGTTAGAAAAAAAGTTTCATTTCATGTTTTATGATAAATATTATGTAATATTCATGCGTAAAGTTTTAAGGGAAGTTTTCTAATTGTTTTCGACTGCAGCGCCTTTGGTGTCGAACACGAAAGACCGCCGGCAAGCACATCGCTTGCGTCAGCTTTGAACATGCTTTGCAGTATAGTGTGTACTTGATGCCACAGTATTTGACTTATTAATTAATTAATTTAATTACCCATGCATTCATTTAAGAAGTGTATAAGTATATCTTAGCCTTCAGCCTTAGGAAGTACGTACACAACGCCAACACTCGAAGCACATAATAGCGCGACATCACTCTCAATGCGGCGAGATTAAAATGATCCCAGCAGCTCGTCGGCGTATCTCGAATTCACTTTCTTTCTTTTTACTATGCCCAGCGCAAGCTCTCAAAGGAGTAGCAGTGCGTCAGCATCGCTGGCTGGCGAGGGACCCGGCGCCACGTGCGAGCGAGTCAAGTCGCTTCCTGCGAGTTGGGCTGCGCCCAACGACCGAGCGCGCTAAGCACTGACAGTGAAGCACGCCTCTCGAGTCATGGGATCCATGTTTGATGGCACCCGCATTCGCTGCGTCCGGCTCCTTCTCGGCGCATGAGTGCGCACGCCATGACGGCGACCTGCACCGGTAGCAACGGGAGCAACGTTGGACCGCTCTCCGGTTACCTGGTGCAGCGGCCTGGCGGCGGTAAGTGGTCAGCCCTGTGACGTTCACCACGCTCCTTGTGAGTGGTCCGCTATATCGTACTCCGCAGGTACAGATTACCTTTATTTACCCGTTCTGAAGCACCACCTCTGTTTTTTACGGATTCTCATCACGTACGGATTCTCGTCAGACTGTTGTTACGTACTGTGGTGCAAAAATCATTTAAGAGTTTCGTAAAACTAGCTTACGTACGTAGGATGCTATCGAGCTCGGTCTGCGCAACAGGGGTGCTTGATAAGGTGTGTGCCAATTCAAGTTTTCTTTGAAATTTATGTCATAAAATTTTTACGCTGAAGCTGTATATAGTTAGTAAAACTGTACATATATAGTATAGCCACCAGTCGGCGCCACTGTAGCGAACTTTTCTGGTAAGCCCGTGATGTGAACACAGCTCGCGATGTGCCCTTAGCATCGATCCACCTCGTAAGGCCTACCTAGGAGCAAAAAATAAAATAAAAAATCTGCATATATGCTTGAGCATTACGCTTCGCCTAGCCAACATAAAAGGCTAGCACAAGAACAACGTTTCAGCTTACCGTATACTGCTAGTAGTGCGCTCGTTAGTGGTTACGCCGCTATGAGCAACCACTTCTCATATTAGCATGTTCTCCAGATTGTCAATGCGTATAAAATTTGTACATATTTTTATTGAGTACTACGTCTATCCGCCTCGTGGGCCAAGTCGCAAAATTCTTGACGCATGCTTCGCATATCAACGATTCCAACGGTACGTAGGATCTGCCGATCTTTTTTTTTTTCCTTTCGTACCCAATAGCTAGATTTGGTGGAGTACTGAGCGTTAATTCTAAATTTTGTAATCGACGCACCAGCGCATTTGTTTATAAGTCCAACATTCAATTAAATTTAATTATCTACGTTATCACGCGCGTATTCGTATTGGCATTTCCGTAATGCATTATATCATCGCACTGAATTTCACTAATTTATAAGACGCATTTGTCAATCCATACTGCATTTAATTCCAACTTCGCATGTACACCCTTTGAGCTTATCTTCATTGTGGTGAAATCTGTATTCGTCTTCATCATATGAAGTCAGTAACACACACACACACACACACACACACACACACACACACACACCACACACACACACACACACCACACACACACACACACACACACACACACACACATATATATATATATATATATATATATATATATATACACCATTGAGGTACTTCACTTATATATCAAATGCTGGTCGGGGGATCAAATTCCGGTTGCGGCGGCTGCATTCCCGATGGAGGCGGAAATGTTATAGGCCCGTGTGCTCAGATTTGAGCGCACGTTAAAGAACCCCAGGTGGTCGAGATTTCCGGAGCCCTCCACTACGGCGTTTCTCATAATGATATGGTGGTTTTGGGGCGTTAAGCCCCACATATCAATCAATCAATCAATCAATGATATATCAAATATCAAAAGTAACAGTGCAACTGTAATGTCGACCAATGTTGCGTGACAGTCTGCCCGGAAATTAACGCATGCGAAATCATATTGCCAACGTCCACCATAACTTAACAAAAAAAAAAATACTTATTGCTTGTTGCAAGCATGCTTGGATGCGCACAGTAAAGTAAAAAAAAATGTTGACTAAAAGCTATCGCAGCGACCGAGCCTGATTGACATATGGAGCCTAACATAAAAATTATTTCCATGTGCATGCAGTCACAAACATCGACAGTAAGAAATTCGCTCAGCCAAGTAACCAAAACCAAAATGAAATTATGAATGTACGAAAACATGCTGCGGATGGCTCTCATTCCTCGTTGTAAGCGGAGCCCTCCTTGACTTGTGAACCGCACTTGGAGACGACGAGTATTACGCCATCTACTCTTAATACAGATAACGCATATTAGGCCAACATAAAAAGTTTTCTTTTAATTTTTTTTTTTGTGAGCCTACGCACGTGACCGCCCCGTTATAAAAAGGGACGCTCAGCATCCATCCATCCATCCAGTGTCCATTCGCTGTTCAAGAAAGGAAACGTCCCGCTTGTAGGGACGCCTAGAAACGGAAGGGGAGGGGGGGGGGGCTAGTGGTTGAGCTGTGTCGCTTGAGGAGCTACTGTAACGTTTGTTTGCAAGGGCACGTGGTAGTGATTGTTGGCACCAGGAGCGTAGCCAGAATTTTCTTTTTTTTTGGGGGGGGGGGGGGGGCACACTAACTAGTCTAGAGGGTGTTGGACAAACTCACTGGCGCACCTACGCCCGCCGTGATTCTGGTGCTCCCTAACATCCCGCGTACGAACGATACACTTCCCTCGCACCGGACCATGGCAGCGGTCACATGGTTATCACTCTTGTGCAAACGTGTTTATCGCAAAGCCACCACCATCGTTGCGGCCCTGTGGAGACAGCACAATCGGGAGAATGCTTGATTGAGATGTGAGGTTTGACGCCCCAATACCACCATATGATTGTGAAAGACGCTGTAGTGAAGGGCTCCGAAAATTTCGACCACCTGGGGACCTTTAACGGGAATCAGGAAAATGCCATGGTCGTTCGTACGTGCAACGTTAGGAAGCACTTGAATCATCGTGTGCACTGGCACGCGAGCGGATTTGTCACGTGGATTTTTTTTTATTTCGCGGGCATTTGTAGTTAGCAGGAAAACATAATAATTAACAGATATAAAGTTCGCAACTGTCTAATCAGACGTTTTGCAAACTGATCTACAACTTTCTTATTGAATTCTTTATTGATCTTCCTTCCTTCAAAAGTTAGTTAAATGTATCTAATTAAACAATATTTTAGAACACAAAAAAGTGTGACTAACTACAAGAAACGGTCAGTTACATGTATTTGATGGCGTCGTAATTGTGTGTGGTGTGTCGGCATATTTAAAAACTCTGGCTAAAGATAGGTGGGGTACCCTGTCTATTTGTATAATTTGTCGTATATTGTTCCAGCTTTATGTTCCTTATTCTTGAGCTGTTTGTCAAGCTGCTGAACAATAAACTTGTGCTCACTACAGTTACCCACACTGCATTTCTCATTACGCTGCTTTCGGTTTATGATCACCATCTTTTTGTTTATCACCCCCGCCACAGTGGTCTAGTGGCTAAGGTACTCGGCTGCTGGCCCACAGGTCACGGGATCAAATCCCGCCTGTGGCGGCTGAATTCCGTTGGAGGCGGAAATGTTGTAGGCCCGTGTACTCAGATTTGGGTGCACGTTAAAGAACCCCAGGTGGTCGAAATTTTCGGAGCCCTCCACTACGGCATCTCTCATAATCATATGGTGGTTTTGGGGCGTTAAGCCCCACAAATCAATCAAATCAATTTTTGTTTAACAGCTCAAGTTTTATGATGAGTATTTTAGTAAGTATTTCTAAGGTTGTCATTGGCCTGCACGTTTTCCTGTATTGCACCTTCGTCACTAAACAACTTTTTAGAGTGCCTTTAGCCAGTAGGGCATAATAAGATATCTATCCGTATATTGTACATCAGCATACAAGTAAAGTTCGGTAGATGAGCCGAATATTCTGTCGAGCGCGCGAACACGTGTGTGTGTGGGGGGGGGGGGGGGCTAAAATGTTAGCAGAACGTGTGATTAAGGTTCGGTAGAAATGTTGGTATTAAGCTTGAGTATATCTTAGCAAACGTTTGAACAGTCCAAGCTGTTAATATGCTTGAACGTGACCTATCAGGCCTTGGAAGTGTGTCAGTCTTCTACCATTGAAATGAACCACTGCCTTGTAAAAATTATCGTAGTGATCGACTCCGGCGAGATCTATTCCGGTGGGTACAAGTATGACCACCACTAGCGCATTAATCCCGTGGTCGAGCAAACTTAATACGCTCGCAGCCGAGATTCTCGCCCAAAACCTCACCGAGTGTCAAAGCCTTGACAAACACCGCGACACGTTTTTCTTTTCCGTATGCGGACATTATTAACTGTAAAAGCGCCCAGGAATGATGTTATGATAGTAGCAACGGTTAGTTGTTGAATCGTTTCATCGCGAAGCGACGAAAAAAAGGTGGGTAAGTGGCAGGGGGGGGGGGGGTGCGGAAAATTTTGAAAAGGGTCCTCCCCCCCTCCCCTGGCTACCCTACTAAATGGTATAGCCACTGGTAGGCACGTGCTATCTCGGCAGGCATCAGCAAACGGGTCATATGCCACCAATTCTACACGCCGTGCTCTCAAAGCGAAAGACTGCGCACGTAAGCCTTCTGTCTCTGGAGCGGCTGTATTCTAGAGTTAGGCGAAATCGCATCCCAAAGGCTTTGCTGCTAGCCTTACTTCGTATACCATTACAATTTTTTTTTCCGCTAACGCGTCCATTTCTTTGCCATTTGGAAGAACTGTGTGTTTTTTAAACCATATAGGTCGGAAATGTTGAAATGAAGGCTAGTGACGACGCGTGTACCACGGTACTGCGCAGTTGGACGAAGCTGAATTTTCTCACAAAATTCATATTAACCTCACCCCAACATCACTTAGAAGATTTGTCTGTTATTGGTGCGGGTTATATGCGCGAAAACACAGTGCACTAGTACTTGAACATTGGTGCACAAGTTCTATCCGTGGTCTAATTTCTATGTTATCTCATTCGTCTTACGCATCATTAACGTCCGACATTTCTGTTTTGTTCTCCGACGGAACGCTTTCCGCAATTGACTCGTAGTAAACCTGTTCCATCAATTATTATTGAACGCGTGCATTTGGTTTCAGATGTTACCGCTGTTCTTCCATGACGTCACAATTCCTTCAACCAAAAGCGAAACTGGGCCTAAATGTTTGGTAGAATCTTTGTGTGTGTGTGTGTGTGTGTGTGTGTGTGTGTGTGTGTGTGTGTGTGTGTGTGTGTGTGTGTGTGTGTGTGTGTGTGTGTGTGTGTGTGTGTGTGTGTGTGTGTGTGTGTGTGTGTGTGTGTGTACAGTTTTCATGTAGAAACCCGTCATTTACTAGGAAAAATTAATAGTGATGAATATTGTTTTCATGTATTTCAGCTATAAATAAAGTTTGAAAAGCGTAGTTGCGTGGTGTATTCTGTCATAACAAAATAGGAGCGAAATCGCTTCTTCTATATTACTGTTTTACTGTAATCTTTCCTGCGTTCGTTTACTTCTATTAGTGCATAACATAATTTTTATACCACTGACGCACTGATGTCACAGAACACCTACCAGTTCTGTATAGTCTGCGTTCTGTATAGTCTGGCAACATGGGCGTCAATGATGCCCGCCGTTGTCTAAAATGGTCGAATTTCTGTCGTCTGCGAAGAGGTAATTAACTTTTGCCTATACAGTTGTCACGTAGTTATTTTATGTATAAGCATGAAAAATTTTGACGAAAAAGACCATGCATGCAGGGTTCAAAGCAACATATGTGATATACTTGTTTTCGTCTGTACACAACCCGTTCTTAGGCCGCATGCACTGTTGCCACGCAACTTCGAGCAGCACGGTTGCGGTCGTTGGTGGTCCTATTATTACGGTTACTTCGATATAAATTGGCACAATGTGTGACCAAGCTGTCGAGGAAGCTTTAGGCCAACTGTCTGACGATGAGGAATTTTTCCAAGACATCGACATCTTGCAAAACCATGGCATCAATGTCGCCGATATCAAGAAGCTCAAGACAGCTGGAATCTGCACAATCAGAGGACTACAGATGACCACTCGGAAGAAGCTGTGTGGAATCAAAGGTATCTCTGAAGCAAAAGTCGACAAGATTAAAGAGATTGTGGCCAAGGTAGCAGATGGAGCGAGCTTCCTGACAGCACTTGAAGTCTGCGAAAAACGGCGCTACGTGTTCAAAATCTCAACAGGCAGTAAAGAGCTCGACAAGTTGATGGGTGGTGGAGTCGAAAGCATGGCGATTACAGAAGTATTTGGCGAGTTCCGCACTGGGAAAACTCAGCTGTCTCATACTCTCTGCGTCACTTGCCAGCTGCCTGGTGAAAATGGATACAGCGGTGGGAAGGCCATTTTCATCGACACTGAGAATACCTTCCGCCCAGACCGGCTACGTAGCATCGCCGATCGGTTCGACCTCGACCATTCTGCCATGCTAGAGAATGTTATTTACGCACGCGCCTTTACAAGCGAGCATCAGATGGAACTGCTGGACCAAGTAGCAGCAAAGTGTCATGAAGAGGCAGGTGTGTTCAAGTTGCTCGTAATCGACTCGATCATGGCTCTTTTTCGAGTTGATTTCAGCGGTCGTGGTGAGCTGGCTGATAGGCAACAAAAGCTGGCCCAAATGCTGTCCAAGCTGCAGAAGCTCTCAGAAGAATATAATGTGGCTGTATTCATCACTAATCAGATGACTGCTGATCCAGGAGCAGCCATGAGTTTTCAGGCTGACCCCAAGAAACCGATTGGAGGACATATCTTGGCACATGCATCAACAACCCGTATAGCGCTGCGGAAAGGCCGTGGTGAAGCACGTATTGCCAAGATCTATGACAGCCCAGATCAGCCCGAGAATGAGGCAACATTTGCTATTTCACCTGGTGGTATTACAGATGTGTCCGAGTAAAACATTGCTCAAGTACTGTTTGTTGCACAAGTGGACTTCAAACGTCTCTTAGTCTGTGATTTTTTTCTTTTTTATTTTTGCTAAGGCATATTTTCCAAGTTGGTTGCCAATAAATAAACTTTATCTATTTTTATGGTCATTCATGGCTGTTTTATTTAAAAAGTGTGCTATTTCAAAACTGCATGCTGCTGTTTCCACATCGGCTGCAGTTACAATGGTACACTGAACTATATTGTTGGAGGGAAGAGCAGAATAAGGATAAAAAAATCATATTGTATAATAGAGTGTGAAATACCTATATAAGTGAGAATATCTTTACCAGCAGCAGATGCCAAATAAAGCACTTGCTTTGCTGACATACAGACAAAATGACTTCCACAGATCTGAAGTAATTGCATATTTTGTTTTAACTCTGTGTTCATTGAGTGCACCTAATTTATTATGTGATGAAGGAAACAGTAACTGGCCCTAAAGTCAGTTTATAGTGCTGTCATAGCTTGACTGAGCAGCAGTTAATCAGGAGTGTCTGTTGTGTTGTGCTTATTAGGCAGGTAAGAAAGCTGTGCAGAAAGTCTTGCAATAATAATTTAACCTTCAGTATTTTCTAACCTTTTCATAAGCTACTGTTTAAACTCAGCTGCTTTTCCTTTATTTGTATACCTTTGATAATACTATCTAGTTTTGAAATTGTAACTTTGTGAAGAGAGAAAACATTATAACTGCGCTGCAGCACAGTTGTGATGAGCCTTACAGTCCTTACACCAAGATTCAGTTTGGTGTTTACTTTAGTAGGTATATTAGTCTCTATGTTGAGCAAACTCGATTGACGATTGATATGTGGGGTTTAACGTCCCAAAACCACCATATAATTATGAGAGACGCTGTAGTGGAGGGCTCCGGAAATTTTGACCACCTGCGATTCTTTAACATGCACCTAAATCTGAGCACACAGGCCTCAGTATTTTCGCCTCCATCGAAAATGCAGCCACCGCAGCCGGGATTCGATCCCGCGACCTGCGGGTCAGCAGCCGAGTACCTTAGCCAATAGACCACCGCGGCGGAGCTATGTTAAGCTAACTGTTTTGGCACCACTTTCTAATGCTGGTGCAATAAGATGTAGCGATGCCTGCAAACCAAAGCTATATTTAAAAAAAAAACACATTGCCAGGTGGCAATTTGTAAGGTGTTCATTTTATGTGTGTTTATTTTTCTATATATTATGTTCTTTCTTGTATTGATAAGCAGGTCTGAGGTAGTCTCAAGGGGAGCTGTCGCCAAAGCTTACAGAGAAATTTGTAAAAGGGGAAAAAAAGGAGAGGAAAGGACGGCATGCTCACTGCTGTCACGCCGGCGTCGGTGGTATAGTGGTCAGCATAGCTGCCTTCACTGCTGTCAGTGCTGATGTGCCAGATATGCATTGATGGGGGTGGGGGCAAGCCCTGAGTGCTTCGAGATGCATCATACACTTCTTATAGATGCATGATTATTCAAAAAGTATTACCACTATTTTTATTCCCAACCTTGTAATGCACCCATTGTGGGCTTCACAAAAATTCTCAAGGACTATATTTTTTCAAACTGGTAGCACAGGCAACATGACTGCTATGGACTATGAGGTGTACACTGTGAATTATTGACATAGAAAGCAATGAGCCCTTGTGTTGGAGGCTTGCAATTATTGTCTAAGCAAGTTCTTACAATTGCCGAAATATGGAAATTGCCAAAGCATGTAGTCAAGCAGTGTAAAGCTAACATACAGTTACGATTAAAATTAGGTTAAGGCGAGACATCATCTGCTTATGGTATGTAGCCAGCTCTGCAAATATCCACTGCTACATGTGTTCCTTATGTGGCCTTTCTTCCTTCAGTGAATGTTGTTTATACTGCTCTGGCATGCAGTATTAAAGCTCTTTCATACGAAGTTGCATATTGTGTTTAAATATTGGTGAATTGAAGCTTACTTCACTGTTCATATTTTTATGATAATTGAGATAGCTTGGTCTCTATAATGAATTACTTAATGAATATAAAACATTTCAACCAAAAAGTATTACATCAAAGAATTTCATACATTTGACATGTACAAAATGTCACATTTATTCTTTTGCTGTGTAAATGGTCTGATACTGATTATCTTGCTTCAGATGTTATAATGTGTGTGGAGACATTTACACCCTGGGACAGTTGCTATAGACAACAGGGATGCCTCTGCAGTTGCTGTTGTTCAGTATTATAGTTGCAAACAAACACATGCTGTCTATATGTTCTGTTTTTATACGCTGAAATTCCCTGAAGTTTCTGGACTTAGCCAGACTAATATTAATGGCACAAACATTCTCATGCTGTGTGTTGGCTAGAACAGGGATTTGCATTCTTCAAATTTGAACCATGCATGCTGTCACTCTCTTCTAAAGTGCAAGAAGATTGATTTTTTTTTTCGCTGTGATCAAACTTCAGCTCTGGCTCGTCTGAAAGGCAGACGGAAGCGCTGGTATGTCTTCGACCAGCACAGCTGCTCTTTGGATTCCTACAAGAACGACTTGGATGCTGCATCAAGAAAGCCTCCTTTATTCAGCATCGACCTTCGTAATGCTGCTATTTCCTTCCTAGTGGATGAGGAAAACTGCTTTGTCATTCAGTAAGTGGCTTGGAAAGTCAACTGGTGTTTTGAGAGGGTTCAACTAAAATTGAGGATAACACGACAAGCCATTGAAAGGAAAATTATTTGTGTAACATTAACCCTTTTGCTGTCATAAAAAAGAATGTTCTAAAAGGACCAAAGTGATTTTTTTTGCTGTATTTGTAGAGCTTTTTTGTGTGACTAAAATGGTACGATTCTTGCCCTTCAATGGGGTTCCTTGCTTTCACTAGTCACACAAAAAAGATGGTTTGAAGGCGTCTTCACTGCATGACAACGCAGGAAAAAATGGCAATGAAATAAAATGGCAAAAAAGATAGTTTGAAGGTGTCTTCACTGCATGACAGCACAATAAATTGCAGTGAAATGAAAGCTGAGAAACAAATGACCCAACGTAGACGAATGTGGCTATCTAGCGTCAAAAAACACAAGTATGACAAGTATAGTCTTCACCAGTTTCCTGTAGGACCAATTTTTGTTGATGAGGAGCACACTCATCATAAACAAACATTGCAGAGTAACGAACAGGATTTTAAGAGAAAGCAAGCACGTCAGGTGGAGGCAGATAGTTATGTGCGCAGATGAGATTAAGAAGCTTGCGGGAATAGCACAGCCACAGCATGAGGATTGGTGAAACATAGAAGAGGCCTTTGTGCTGCAGTGGGTGCAGTCAGGCATATGAAGTGGTTTGGCCTTGTACTTCAATTTCTAGGTTGCATAACACAGAAAGGGGGTTTCACCCACCAGTGTGGCCTAATGGTTATGGTACTTGACTGTTGAACTGAAAGTTCTGGGATCAAATTCTAGCCTCGGCAGCCACATTGCCATGGAGGCAAAAGACTAGAGGCCCATGAGTGTAGATTTCGGTGCACATTAAAGAACCCATGTGATCATGCTTTCTGGGACCGTCCACTACAGTGTCTTTCAATCATATCATGGCTTTGGAATCTAAAAGCCGAGGAATTATTAGTATGGTCTGAAGGGGAGTTCTTGAGGTTCTTCATGAGAAACATCAAAGGTGAGGTTAGTGATGAGACTGTGTTGACAAGGTTTCACTTTCTGGCTTTTAGATTATTGAGCTGTAGTGTCCTAACTTGTCAACCTTATAGCTCCTCTGAAAGTCGCAGCAAATGCCTCACATTCACTCGGAATTTTCAAAAAGGAGGCTTGACTTTATGAATATATAGAATTCACTGGCCAGTGGTGCTGCCCTATTGCCATTGAGTTTGTATTACTTTCTGAAAGGCTCTTGTGCTGCTTTTGAGAAAGCTGTGCAGAAGCCGGTGCACAAAAGCTGCATGACTTTTGTGCACAGGCATCACACTCTAGGCAGCCTTCAAGGGGCACTGCAACAATTTTTCAGCATGGTCAGAAAACGTAAATTGGTAGTCGAGGCTCCCGAGAACACGCAAGCCAAATATTCTAGCATAGAACACGGCCCGGAATTGACAATAAATTCTCAAAGTCAATTAAAAATCGCTTTCTCTTCTCTCAACAAAGTAGGCTACGTTTAAAAAAAACTCAGCGTGTCACAGGTTCAAGAATTGCGCCGTTGGCTGATTTGAGCATAGCACACTTGGAAGTTATTGGGGCCACTGCAACAAGCCGTGGCCTGTCCACGTACACACACACGATCGAACTGAAAAATTGCGTTTTCAAAGATAAAAAATTAGAAAAAGTGCTCTAGGTCATGAGGAGTGCGTGACGTACCTTCTTCTTTTGTCCTACCCCTCCCTACTTAGATTTAAGCACTTTAATTAGGACGAGAGAAGAGAGAAAGCATTTGCAACATGCAACAAATCTTCGAAACTCTGCTCTTACTGAGAGGATTCTGAAAATTTTTGTGGTGGCCAGTTCATGAGATAATAAGCTCCATTATGAAAACTAATATCATGGCTACTTAGAAAAGTGTTGCAGGGCCTTTTTAATAAACCATGCATACAAGAATGAAGTGATATAATAGATGCTATTGTATGAGGATCTTGCTTACAATTTTGGCCTTGTAGTTTAATGATGACCTTCCATTCTTTTGTTACCTTTTTTCTCAATAAGCTCTGGAGCCAAGGAGTATGTCTTTGTGGCTGGAAACCATGAGTCAATGATGGCATGGGTCATGGCTCTACAGGTAATTAATTATTCATCTTTCCTTTGCAGCTTGAGAAACTGTAAGGGAGCTTTTACCATAATGTCACTGTTCTACTTAAATTTACTCTTAGTCTGTCAGAGCTCAAAAATTGTAGTGCTGTGTGCTCTCATTAAAAAGTTCTTTCATTCTGTCACATATAGTCAGATCAACCTTTAGCCTTTTGCACTTGGCAACTCTTGCTCCCTCTTTATTTCTTTTTTTATGTAGCAAATGTCGCAGCCATTACTGTGGCAAGAGAAACTGTATTTCACATGTAGGCGTACATCTTTAGTTGTGTTGCGTATATGCTCCAAAGTGGGCCCGCACAACATGTGTTCCTGTAAAGTTTCTTTTGTTAAAAAAAATGGAAAGGTTTTTGTACTGAACACTTACAAAATTAGTTTGGAGAAATGAACTCTAATTGCAGGCAACTTGTGAGGCAACACCCACTAGTTTTCTGTGGGTTGCTGGGATGAGTACTCATGCCACGTAAACTAGTGACTGTGAATATTAACAGAAATTTGTTTCACCAAATTTTTGTGGCACTGAGTTTAGTGCTCGGGCACAATTAAATGCTTCCTTACTCATAATAATAGAACGTCCTATATTAATAGGGCTGTACAACACTTTTTGAACATGGTCAGAAAATGCCTTTGAATAGCAGTTGAGGATCCTGTGAGCATGTGAGCGAAATGCAATGCTACTGCACGCAGCAAAAAATTTGCAGTTGCATTTCAAAGACAGCTAAAAGCAGCTCACTATTCCCTTGACAAATTACACCATCGATGAGCCTGACTACAAGAGCACAGCCATTGGCTGATTTGAGGATTCTCTTGGTGCATAGGTACGGCGGTGTGAGTGGTGTGGTCTGTAATGTGTTAGAATCACACTGTAGCTGCCATAACGTGCTCGTGATCACACTAAAAGGGAGTTGACACATACAAAGAAATGAAAGAAAAAGTGCTTAGGGTCATGACCTGTGCTGACCCAGCTTCTGGCCCCTTTGTCACATCCTCCTGTGTAGCTCTCGGCACGCTTATTGGCATGAAAGGAAAGAAAAAATGCCTGAAACGTGCAACAAACCCCTGTAACTCTGCTTGTACTTGACAGATTTGAAAATAATTTTGTGGGGCATTGAATTCTGATTGAAGTGATACTGAACCCTGGTTTGATGACTACTTGAAAAAGTGATGCAGGGTCCCTTCAGGTACCTCAGATACTGCTGCTGCTGGCTTATATTCATAAAACTTTCTTGTTTTTCTTTTGCCCTTTTCTTTTTTTTTTGTTTTCTTCAGTGCTAAAGATATAAGCATAGTAGACTGAGACAAACACAATGTAGCCTTGGAAATCAGTTCATCAAAACGGGCACTTTACAACAACTGGTTTAACATGTAGGAGACTAAACAAAGCTTCCAAGCTGTTTATCTTACCTGAGAATGCAGCTTAATATAGTTTAGCTGAAAGAGGTATGACACCAATTTTCAAAGCCTACTTTACTCTGTCATACAAATTTTGTGTACAGACATGCTGCACTTTTATCACTAGGCCCATTTAAGTGTTCCTTTAAAATATATGAGCCGCCCAGCCGCAGTGGTCAAGTGGCTAAAGTACTCGGCTGCTGACCCGCAGGTCGGGGAATGAAATCCCGGCTGCGGCGGCTACATTTTCGACGGAGGCGGAAATTTTGGAGGCCAGTGGGCTTAGATTTAGGTGCGCGTTAAAGAACCCCAGGTGGTCGAAATTTCTGGAGTCCTCCACTAGGGCATCTTTCATAATCATATTGTGGTTTTTGGGACGGGAAACCCCACATATCAATCAATCATCAGAATATTTGAGCCATGCAAGCGCTTGCACTCCACTTTAAACTCCTTTCTCATTGTAATTGTCACCACATTTTAGCAACCTTTTAAAGGGATACTGAACAAAACTTTGACAAACTGACAAAACTTCAAAACTTTGCTCGGGAGATGTGGTTGTTCTGCTAAACAAAGTTAATTTCCCATATTTTTGGAGGACTGTCAGAGCGTGGTGGCTGCACAAGAGGGGAAGCTTTGACGTCACGATCGCCAAGGTGCATGCAGGGTGCATGAGTCCTTCTCTTCCTTTTCTCTATTTCCCTTTTCATTCCACTCTCCCCCTTCCACAAAAGCCCTGATGCTGTGCCGCAGCCAGGAACATTGTTTGCAACCGGTGCTGTTTATGCAAGTTCTGGAAACAGTAGGGGGAGATGAGCGAGTCGGAGAGACGCGACGTCGGCTGGCATTGTTGGCTGGCCCGTTTCAGAAAGGTCGGTGTGACGTCACTGAGCGTCACTTCCCATAGTTCACGACACAGCTGCTAGACACAGCAGTGTGGAAAAAACGCAATAAATTTATTATTTTCCTGTAGTTTCTGGCTGGAATGAAGGTTGTCTCTATCGACTTCAGGACCCAATTTTTCTATTTGGTTGAAAATCTTGGTATAGATAGATGAACGTGATATAAAAAAATTGTAATGTTATACGAAGTCTCGCAGCCAACTCTTTTAAATCTGGTATCACGGAACTCCTACAAAACATTGGTGTGAGCAAATAAATAGGGCCGCTTCAGGGAGAAGTGCTCTTTTCACAGTATTTTCACGCTGAAAGTGCAGTAATACTTGCCGAAGCAGCGCGCGCGCCGGCGATCGCGACGGCCCCTAAAATCTAAGTTCATTGTTGACACTCGAGAGACCCCCCCTCCTCCCCCCGTGTTTTTTTATAATCGTTCAAAACGGGTGGTTTCCTTTTTGTGTGAGGATTCGACGGCAGTTCTAACACGCAGGGGGATGTTATATTATGCGCCTTCCAGGCGATAGATTTAATCTCTGCTTCAGCAGCACTCGCACGCTTTTACTCACTCGTGAAAGTTACGAGGCACGAGGGCAGATTGTCAACTTAGACTTGTTACAGAACATGGCGGCGACAACAAAAACCCACCGAGTGTCCATATGATTGCTATCGCAATAATAATGCGGTTTTTTTTTACCGCTAAATAAGTGTCTTGAGTTAGCTCGGCCTTTTGTCTTCCTTATGTTTAACTTGTGCGTTTATTTCTTGAATTTTCACTCTGAACCTACATATAACAAAATCCTCCTTATAATGAATTTTTCCGGGAATTCATCAATTTTGTTATATTCAAGTTTAACTGCACAGCATGTTTTTAAAAGCTAGTTTCGGTTCCTACTGTACCCTGACGTCTCAACATGGTGTGAGCAGCACCACCAGGCGATTGTAGGTGCACATGCAACTGTTCCTGGCGTATTCTCATCCAGGCGTTTCTTCTTCGATCGTCTGTTTCAACTGCTGCGCGCCACATGTATGGCAACTGTCGCGGCAGGGCGGCACATTGTTGCGATGGCATCTCTTTTATTTGAGGTGCAGTTTCTTCATCAACAGTCCTAAGTCAATCAAAAACTGCATGTTGCATGTGTACGTGTCCAGAGGGGAGTGCAGCAAACAAAGTAAACTCCGCTTGGTTGGCATCCAGTCGCTGCCCTGTTCGTGGCGCATGAAGTCGACCCACGCTTGTCTCAGCGCCAGATGAGAAGGGAATCGGTAGAACTTGCATCTATTGTCCCCTGTTTCACTGGTGCAAGACTTCACAGGGCATAATATTGGCACAATGACGGCAAATTTCATATGATATGGTGCCTTTGTCATCTGATAAGCGTATATAACTTGCTTCATGAGTATATACTGGATGACAGTAGATGATCAAAAAGGCATTGCGCAATTTGCCATTTTTGTGTTTTTGTGCTTGACGTCATCACAACGAGCCAGACCGCTGCATGGAATCACCAAGATTAGTACTGTAGTCTGACGTCAAGTTAGTGTCAATGTCGATAGGTTTTTCGTGAGCAAATCGACTTTAATATCAAAAGAAAATAGCTTATCAGCATTTGCTGAGAGTAACACTTGCTTGGAGTCTTCTGTGTATGCAGGAGATTTGTATGGCAGAGTAAACTCACCTCCGAAAAATTGTCAGATCCCCTTTAACATGTGAAGGGTGCAAGCAACTCCTTTAAAACTTGATATCGTGAGTATAATTAACACAAACCTAAAGCAAGCAATCAGAACGACCTGAGGTTTCTAATAATTCTCACATTATAACTCTTCTTATCCATTAATATGTCTTATGCACACTTTCGTGATAGTTATTTGCATTCTACAGTTAATTTAGAGCAATATAAGCCATTAGTGGCTCAGAATCATTAATTTTTAGTGGGGAAAAAGTCTAGTGGAAAAAGATCCTGCTGACGAGCACAAGCTGCAGCGGCCTTCTGCATTCAGCGCTCCTAGTCGTTCATGGTTCGCCAAGATGAAAAGTGCTGGTCTATCGCTTAGATTGCATGTCATCCACTAGATGGCAGCATTAACTCGATGATTCTGCTTTCTTCTGTCGCAGGAGCACGGTTCTTGTGTAGAAAGATAGATGGTGTGTGGTGGTGGCGGCCCATGCATAGCTGGCCGTTAAGACGAAAAAAAAAAAAAAAGATTTTTACTTTTGCCATCCTTTTTGAGTGATGATGAATCGGATACATATGTTCATCTTGCATCTGTAAAGGAAGACTGAAATGACGGTGAATTGAGTAGCTTCTCCGGTAATGAAGAAGATTGGTCGGAAGCGAGCATTGCGAGTGCTCACCAGTGAATCTGCTTCATGTTATTCTGTGTTTTGAAATTCCACACATAGTCCCGAAGCTTCCAGAGAGAAATAGCCCAAGTGCGCTTAGCCTACACAAGTGAAGAAAGATGTGGCATCTGCAACTGTTTTATTGATAAGTTTTTTATCTTTATTAGCAGCAGGTAGTTGGTTTCCAATGTATTATTCAGAAATAAACTTCATTGTGTTGATTTGACTAAGTATGTGGTACAAAAATGTTTAAAGAACAGTTGGCTGCTTTTTAGTACAATTAGATTGAAACCAGCAATAGAAAAATAAACACTCTTGGTTGGGATATTTTCAAAAAAAAAAAAAAGCACTTAAAGGATTGTGAAGGAATCATTGTAACCATTGTAAAGGAACCAAGCAACTGTAAAAACCTGTTTTAGAAGACAGTTTACATTTTGGCTGGTAGCTAACTAATTGACTTCACATACTTAAGGATGTTTTCTTACGGTAAAGACATACTTGAAGAATTAAAATTCAAGGCATACTTAAAGAATTAAAATTTCTCTATTCACATCTAGCCACCTTAACAGTAGCACAGTTGAAGTATGTCTGGTATGCTCATTATCACTCTTACCCATATAATTCAGAAACTCTGTCTTCTGTGGTACAATGTTTGTGTATCATTGGTCTGTGATGCTCAATGATAACCTGCTGCATTTATTATACCTGTTATCACCACCTGAAGTTCTTAGTAATTCAGTATCAAAGCTGAGACTGAACAAAATGGCAGGAAATGAAATTTTGCTTTTGTGTAATTGGGTTGCTTAGCATGATTACTGCGTTAAAGTTGCCCTGCAACACTTTTCTAAGTAATCGTTGAATGGCTTCATTAAAGGAGCATATTGCTTCATGAATTGACTGCCATAAAAATTTTTAGAATTCGTGAAGCACAAGTGGAGTTACAGAGATTTGTGGCATGCTTCAAGTGCTATTCTTCTCCTACACCAGCGAGTGCATGGAAAGCTACTCAAGGAGCGGGATGACAAGGGGGCAAAAAGATGCACCCATCAGCGTGCATTGTGACCTTGAAGACTTTCTTTTCATTTCTATATTTAAACACCCAGCCTAATTTCAGTGTGATCACAGATGCAGGCACAACCATATGGCCGCATCCCTTCACTTCACTTCACTTTACTTTGTTTCATTAAAGACCTCACCTAGGGGGAAGGCATAAGAGGTGGTGTTAAAAAAAAAGAACTGTGTATGGTTGTATTGATAGCTTCAGCAAACATAGATAAGTTAATGATGGCAGAGAAAGAGTGAGGAAGATCATTCCAGTCTTCTCCTGCTTGTACTAAAAAGGAGGCTTGGAATGCAGTGGTCTGGGTACGTGGTGTTGCAGCTTGAGGCGGATGACCAGTGCGATGAGATATGTGTGAATGCATGGTGGATGTGGTAACTATGCAGCTCACAATGCTCAGATCAGCAGTGGCCATGGACTTTGGGTTTAGGGCATAGCCATTTGGGCTTATGGCATCATTTGTAGGGAGGAGAACGAATGATCTCTAGCTCACCTCTGGCTGGCTTTCCCAACATTAGCATTTATGTTCCTCAACAATATGTTAAATAGAAATTCATGAGAGCATTTAGTGAAGGGGGTAAAATTAACTGTGCATAACTGTAGGTGCCCCTAAAAGGCAACCATAGTTAGGTGGACAGCATAAAAGAAATAAGTTGTTGGAAAAAGCTTAATATGGCAGCATAAATGGTATGGGGCATATTTACTACTCACTCAGTGCCTTTGAATAGAAAAACTTCTTTACTGCAGGCCAACAGAGACCTGTGCCGGGAGCAAGAGCCAATTAATTCTGTGCAAGTGGAGGAAGATGACGTTGTGAAGAGAAAAATATCTCTACCGGTAAACAAAACTTGGTGCTCTGTACGAAGGCGTGCATTGTGAGAAAAAAATTGGCAAACAGATGCTTCCATGCTTTCTAAAAGCTTCGTGTTTAGGTCACTGTTTGCCATTGTTAGAGCTTATTTTCATATGGTACTGTGGCTGTACCCCCTCCTCCCCCCTTCTCTTTTTCCTTTCTTTTTTTTTGTAGGGCTGTGATTTCTTCTATGATTTTTTTTCTGCAACATTTTTTTTTACTGTACCAAATGGGGATCACAAGCTGGCTTTTCGTTTTGCACTAACATCATTTTTATCTATGTGCCCAGGCTGGTGTAATAATAAATGAAAGTGTGACACCAAGGTACTGTGATGAAAATCAAGGCCATGCTGCGACACCCCACCAAGAGCAGTGTGACCGGAGGCTTTCTCTACAAAACTGGAAAGGTAATATCTGTGGTGCCTTCCCTAAGGGCTTTAGTAAGCTTATGTGATTTTGGTTGACCAATCCTACTTTTATTACCTTGATGTATGAATTTATTCTGAAAACAGTTGTCAACATATTATTATTATTATTATTATTATTATTATTATTATTATTATTATTATTATTATTATTATTATTATTATTATTATTATTATTATTATTACGTATTATTGGTATTTGATTTGGATAAGAATAAAATATCACAGCATATTCACAGAGTGAATGATCATGAGTGGCGTGAAGCGTCCTTGCGTTTGTCCTTCCTGCCATACCTCAGGATCTTGCCGACGAGCACGAGCCGCAGCGACCTTCCACACCCAGCACTCGTTGTCGTCCATCATTTGCCAAGCAGCAGGATTCGGCAAGTACACTTGTTCGGTGATGATCCAGGAGAATGAGAGATAACGAGCGCGCTGGCCGAGCTCCGCGCAGCAGTCAATCAGAGAGCAGCTGCACGGTCAATGCAACCTAGTGTACCTTCACCCAACCATCATATTGTATGCATGACTATGAGACAGCACACTTTCAGAAACGAGAGGAGAAATGGAATGTGTACAGCGACATTTAGTATATCATCACCCAACTGCAGTTTGCATGCATCTCTATGGAACAGAACCATCCATTGTATGAGAAGGGAGGTGCTACTGGGTACAGAATATAGTCGACGATCAACGCCGCTCGTGCTCCAGCCAGGTCTCGCCATAAGGAGCTTTGCTCCTTAAACATAAAGACACAGAATTACTAGGGAGGGAAACATGCAGACAACTGCCACCTAGAGGGGCACAACACCTGTCTGCTTCTTTGCAAAGGGGAAAAAAAAAGAATCGTAAGAATAAAGACAAAAGTAAAAAAAGCACACAGACCTAAACATAAAAAAGTAGTCACATAAAAAATGACCATAAACGTGGGACCAAACTTGTTTTGTTTAAAAACATTAATAAGGCTCTGTGAGATCATCACTGTGGTCTTTTTTTTGTGATACAACTTGTATGAACATTCAGTGGGTCTTTTTTTTTGCCATTGCCATCACAGTTGTGTCCCAGATATGTATCCATATGTATATATAAAAAAAAGGCACAACAAAAAATAAATTGCACGAAAAAATTTTCAAAGCACCCAACCGGGAATTTAAACTAGCACAGCGACCCCTCGCTCCATAGTGCACTGCATTAGACAACTCAACCACATGCTCTGCATACTCGAGTGTAATAGTAGCGTGTTATTTATATACATCAATGACCACTGCATTGTGCACATCTCAGAGGAGCTTGAGCGTGCTTTCTATCTAGCAAAGCTCCTACGATTTCTTTCCACTTGAAACTGCCCTTGAGACACGCATGGAAAAGTGGCCCGTTTTTCTACCCATGCGTGGTGTGGAAAAAAAAAAAAACACTGGACACCTCACATCAGACTCCATTGCGTGGCAGGAGACGCAGAGGGTTCACTCCATGTTCTGCAGTTCAAAAAGAAACAAAACCTTCAAGAGTGTTGGGTTCTGCACTGTCGACACCTGTAGCGCATTGCTCAAACACAAAGAAGCAACAACTGTGACAGTTGTTAATTCACACTTCTCTTGTGTGTTCTTGTCGGGTGTGCTTCTTATTGGTTCAGCGAAACACTTCAAGTATTGAGCTGCTTGTCTTTCTTTCTGTGACATTCCAATTCCTAGCTATCACACTTATTACTTCGCCCTTGCAGCGAAGCTGCAACTTTTCTTTTTTGCAAATAAATTTAGCAGACTTAGTTTCTTTTTTCTGAACACAGTGCATAAAGAAAACGAAAGAACAGTGAAAGCTGAGCTATATAAAGGGGGAGGGAGTGAAACATTTTGGAAATAAAATATGGGCATCTGCTTAGTGGTTTTATTCGTTTGGTTCAAGTAAATTATGGTGAGACCTATATGAAAGAGAATAAAGACAACTCCGATTTCAATGAACGTACGCTTGTGTCTTGTACACGCAACTGTCTCTTACATCAGTGTCTCTTATAAAGGGGTTCAACTATATGTCCATTAGCTACACGGACATGACTGGCGTATTAGTCACCATGTGTTCAAACATAGCCATGGGACAAAAACTTATTTCAGAACTGTTGTCCAGATTTGAGTCATTCTACAGGTTGGTGTTGATGTTTCTTGAATCCTGACTCTAGATCCCCTTCTTAAATGACCCATATATTACATATGGGAAACGCATCTTGTCATTTCAAATGGCAACTGTAGTTGACATCTAGCCTTCCCCCCCCCCCCCCCCTTTCTTTCTTGTTTCAACTTTTTGCTCTGTCCCAGGCCTCGCGGGACTGCAAGTGACTGCAGCACGTTGGCTGATCTAAGTTTGAGACCCCTGCTCCAGCAGATGCCCACATGTGACATGCTGCTTATTACTTATTGTTACTCTAAATTTGAGAGAACATTCTTATCAAGCTGTGATCCAGTTGCAACACTGTGAGATTACATGCTCAGTTACATGCTTTCCCATGGATTGTTGAACAGCCTTATTGAACTGTCCAGTCTCTTACATAAGATGATACAGTATAATACTGCTGCATCTGGAACTTTAAAGCAATGTTTGATGTCATAACATTTTTTAAATTTGTATCTTGGGCCACTGTTGCTCATTATCTTTGTACACTCTTGCAAAAGGAGCTTGTTTATTGCTCCCAGAAGTTCATTAGCTGGTAGCCTTGGGCTATAATCATATATCGCAAAATAAGCTGTGAAACCTCTGCAATGCTGAAGTGCTGCTTACAAAATGCTTAAGCTTCATTTAGGAAAGCTTTGCTGAAAGCTTATGTGCCTCTCAAGGTTACAGATCAACTGCATTACCATAATATGCTCTTTAGTGGTCTGGTATAATGAACTATAGGGTTAGCTCTTTTTTCCTGCCAATGCTTGTAACCTTTATATCTGAGTGTGGGAAACAATGCTTGCACATGTGCCATTTTGTGGCTGAAATTACATCATGAAGGTGTTTATTTTCAAAATTTTCACCTGCTGTTTGTGTGCACTGCCAGTATCAAGACAAGGCCACTTGCAGTCGACGTACTCTCTTCCTCATCCAGTGTTCAGCAGCATCGTTTACTGTAATTGTTTTAGATAGAGTTCAACTCCAAGTCTTTCAATCTATAATGACTTGCTGATTGTTTAGAAACCTGCCAATTTTTATTGAACCAGTACTTCTCAGTGGTTCTGGTGTGCTTTCTTTCTGTTCATAAAGTTCGAACTTATAAAGCTGGAAAACATATTTGTCGGGATTTTCTCTTTGTCTGCCTGGCAGACGTCTTTCACCATCATCGACATTGCTCCTAACGAGCTGCTGCTTTCTCGCGAGCATGAAGCTATGACTTCTTTTTCATGTTCGGTTAAAAGGCGTTCGTTTCGGACGTGCCGCCTTTCTCCTGGACAGCCTGGTGGCCAGCAAACCTTGAGGTCCACCACAATGGTTATATGTGTGAGATCTAGTTTGTTTCAGCTTAGTTTCATGCTTTGTGTAGAACATTTGCTGTTATTGGGTAGATGGTTACATTCATTTCAGGTCACCCCTATGTCTGACATGTAAAAGTGGTACGTTTTCTTTGTGTTCGAGAACTTCAACATGTTGGCTAAAGTTGTGCATTTGTTCGTTTCATGATTTTTGTATAGTTGCCTGAATAATTTGCTTCCATGCCAGTAGCTTTATCAGGTGATGTTTATAATATTGACTCTCAATCAGTGAAGAATACTTTCAGCAGTATTGACCAGTAATTTATTGGTTAGACCAATTATTTAGCTTAATGTAATTTATTAAGAATAGGACTTGTAAAAGCTGTCTGAATTTATTTGTGATTACTTATCATACTGGGTTTACACTAAGAGAGTACAGGAGCTTATCCTCTGTTCACTGCACTGGTTCCTAAAGCGTTTTGCAATATATGGATGTTTTACTACTTCCTTAGATGCTATGGAGGAAGAAACATTAGTGTAAGATGTTTTATTTATCAGTCACATAAAATCAAGAAAGCACCCTCTTTAAAACCTTCATAAAATTTTAACCAATCATGTGTTTTTAAAAATTTGGCCATATGATGCCAGCTTACATTGGAAGGGGCCAAAGAACTGTGGGCTTCATATATAATTTACCGTCATTTTCTGCAGCGATGTAATAGAGTAAGAATAACTTCAAGTAATACTCTTCTGTGTCAATAAATCTTCACGTTACCTTGTGCTGATAGCCATGCCAGATGATATTTGTTGAGCTGGCTGTAGATTCCAAGCTGATTGGCTCTTGCTGCAGATCTAGTAACTCTAGACATATCTAGGCTTATCTTGGTGTCGGCCATTTCTAGAGCACATCAGGTTTAAATTAGGAAATAGCATTATATACAGGACTCTGTTTACTCCAACATCTTAGTAATAATTTTTCTCTTCATGCCCCCCCCCCCCCCCCGCCCCAGTCCTAATATTTGTTTTGCTGTGTGAGCAGTGTGACCCAGACGGAAGATTGAAAGGAATGTACTCACACAAGCACTCACTGACAGCTGTTTTTTTTTCATACATGTTGTTAATAAGCACACAAAATTGATCACATGTCATGACAATATGTTAATAGCAAAGTATGTTTATTAATTACCACATATCAAGACTATGCTCAATTATCAGCTCATCCAGATTGCCATTATAATACTAGTCTTTATGTTCCTTTTTTTTATGAAGACTACGCTTCTTTTGACCATTCTTTAAATAGATTTCTGAAAGCTGACCATGCTTTTTATATTTGTTTAAATTTTTCCACAGCTAAGGCCTGGCCAACAGCACCTTTCTCATTTGTCAACCATGCACGGACAATTGAGGACAACTGTTCATCACATCCAGTCACTGCCATGTGTGAAACTGTAGAAGAAAACACTGCTGAGATGAGAAACACAGACAGTGCCATTCAGCCCATAGTACCTCTTGTATCAACATCTTCATCTGAATGTGTTTCTGCTGTGCCTGGGCCCATTCAATGTTGTGTTCAGCATCGTAAAGACAGTGGTACTGTGATATCACCACTGCGATGTAGAGAAGCCAACGGGGGAAGGAATCACTACAGGAGGGCACCATTGCGGAGGTTAGATTTTGAACTTTTTTCGCCAGCACTCTGAACACTATGTCTTGTGTCTATTGCTAGCACTATTTGGAAACAGCACCGTAGAGTCAGATGAGAAAACTAAATAGCACACAAACACCAGTGTGACTTATGTTTGTGCGTTATTCGGTGTTCTCATTGCATGTGTTCATGTGTTGTTCAGTATTTCGGTCCTTATCTGTGGTGCCATTTTAAAATAATGAATCCATATGAACTCGCCTAAATGTCAGTTCTACTTAATTCTATCAAGTTCTATTTACTTTTATGACTCTCAGATATTGCTACTGTTCCGAATGCTTAGAGTGACCACATTTTAATGCATCAGCAAAAGTGCACTGTTGAAGTTGCATTGCAAATTTCATCTGAAGGCCAATAAGAACGAAAATATTTTTCCCTTTTTTAATTTCAGCAATACTTGAGCTGTGACAAACGGCTGGAACAATTCTTTTCTGCGAGGAAGAAAATAACCCTCATTATTTTTCTCCCTTGTTAATATTAGCTTTTGCAGTGGTTATTAGTAGTCAATTCAGCACATTGACAATATTCATGGTAATAGTCTGTAAAATAAATTTTATTGTAGTATAAGTTTACCAAAGTTTTAGGTTGTTATGCACACTGAGTCTTCTTCCTTATGTAAGTGACATTTTGCAATATTACTCTAATGTTGACATCGCAGCCATCACATTTTTTTTATAGTCTGGCACAAATGACAATATTGTGTGGGCTACAATTCAAAGATAAACTAGGTCAAACATTTGGGCAAAGTGTAGTACGCAGGCTGCCTATTTGCCAGGGAGCACTGACTTGGAGAATCGTACTTACATAAGAGAGACATAGGTGCATTTGTTCATCCTGTTCTTATGCCACTAACCCTCATAATTGGAATGCAGGAAGGTGACCTACGGTTGATAAAAATAGTTTTTTTTTTGTCTGCATGCCTAGGTTTTCTACAATCACTACAATTTTTACCCCGAAATGCCTGTTGACTTGCAAGTTATGTAGTTGCAAGCACAAATTTGAAGCTCTGTTCATGTAGAAACTATACTACTTACAATTAAAGATGAATTACTACCTATCACGCCAGGCATTCTATAGAGTCTGTTCCACACATAATATATTACCTTATGCGAAAGTTTCCAGAGTTCACACAGAATGAGCATGCTATGGTCAACTGGATCAGCAAAAGACATCCGCACAAGTATCCACAGTGCAAATGCAAAACTGAAGTAAAGTATGTTAAAATGAATTTCACAACGTTTTTGGCGATAAAATTACGGGAGGCGTAATCTTTGTCCCTACTTTGAACCATATGATCTAAAGCATTGCCTCAGAGATGCGGCGCATCGCAATTCATCTATAGAGCAGAAGACGGATGACAACTTGCCCTAAAGCGTGTTTTTCAGTCTAATGCAGCAGTCTTCATGCCCCAAATGATAAAAATTTGTTATGAATCGTTTATGAACTCATTCAACATTCAATTCTCTTACCCAACGTGTTGCAAACACATGACCGTCACAGCAGCTCCATCTGTGTGTCAGTAATTGAGAGGCACCACATATTAGAAGTCTCAGTGCTCTATGTATAAGAGCGAATTCATATACGATAGAATAGCGTGTTCAAAATAGTTACTCCTATCTGCTAAAACAGCCTTTCTTCACCAAATGCCGTCACGTTTACTCGCGTTTGAAGCTTATTGCCGCTTTTCCATTCCGATTTCTAGATTTCTCAACTTATCAGCGCATTCTCGAAAAGCTCTGATTTATACCACGAATATTGTCACTAAAAACAAAATAATGCAACATGTTTTTCTATATTACTGTATGATGGCCTCCGGTTGTCTATTTACGAGATTTTAAGAGAAATCGAAAATGGGGTTTGTTTATTATTCAAATTTCAGTGGAGTACACTTTTGCCATTATGGGAACTTTGAGGCAATATATAAAAATTTACATTTGCCCTACGGCAGCAATAATTTATGTACCTAATGAACACACCATATTCTTAAAACGTGTCAAGTTTGAAAACGCTGCTTGCATTACTTTCTGAGAAAAAAAATGGGGAATACGTAACTTATTTTAAACTGTCTCAAAATTAGACATTTTTAAAAGCTGTTTTCTTAAGGTCTACAATCTTGAAACTGTATGAATTCATTCTTCATTAGACATGCATTTCAGGTAAAAGATATCTTCCTTGAAACAAAAATATTTGTCTTTTTATAGCATCTGCAATTTTCGAAAATGACAGGTGATGAAATTGGTGCCTCCGTTTTGGTAAAGTTTGATATTTTTTTTCTCGTAAGTTATGCTGTTAATCATAAAACGAAGTTAACTTTCGGGCTACCTGGTGAGAGGTGCACGAAATATAAAATACTCAATGAAATCTAAAATATCAACTTTTGGACCCGTGTTGATCTCTCGTGGAATCACCCCCCCCCCACCCACCCACACACACACACGCACACACACACACACATGCACACGCACATGCACGCACACGCACACACACACACACACACACACACACACACGCAGTAACAACAAAACAACAGCATAAATGTCGCAAAAATAATTAGCCCCGCCGTGATGGTCTAGTGACTAACGTACTTGGCTGCTGACCCGCAGGTCACGGGATCAAATATCGGCTGCGGCAGCTGCACTTTCGATGGAGGTGAAAATGCTGTAGGCCTGTGTGCTGAGATATTGGTGCACGTTAAAGAACCCAGGTGGTCGAAATTTCCAGAGCCCTCCACAATAGCGTCTCTCATAATCATATGGTGATTTTGGGATGTTAAAGCCCACATATCATTCAATCAATCAATCAATAAAAAATATAGTGGTGATTGTATAGTTGGATTATGTAGTTGGGGCACTTTATAGGAATTCTTTTCCATAAATATATGTTCTCTTCTTTCTTGTTTCACTGCTATTGAGTGATAACGCTAAACCTTATGCTCATGATGTTACACGTTTTTTTTTTCTGCTATCACACATTCTATTAATGATGCAGTTGTTGTTGTTCATGAAAATAGAGTTTTCACTTTTTCTGAAAGAGCTTTCTTTCCTGTTCTCATCTTGATTGCGCTTAGAATCCCAATAATAATTGACACTTCAACCTCACTTGATGTCAAATACAGCCATCATACAGGCATTACAGCCATGAAGTACCCAAAATGAACTGCTGCTCCTTGCTTCTCATTGTAAGCTTTTCCACCTCTGTTCATTAAAAAAAAATTATCATTGCATTTCTACTCTTCATTACCCAGTTATTTTTCCCCTTACATGTCTGCTTGAATTTATAATTCTCCTAAAGTTGATAATACATTGTCTAATCAAGACATGTAGTGACTCATTTATTCCAAGAACATCTCTTGACTGGAACCACCTTCCCGAGTCTGTGGTCACCATCACCAATGATCACCAGTTTAATTTCACACTAGCTAACATCGTATAAAAGAGTCATCCATATTACCTGTTTTCTTTTTAGATAACATTACTATTTTAGCGAGCAATTCATGGGTAATAAAGATCACCTTTCTGGAATTTCGAAAATATCGTATGAGTGCGGAGAACCTGGCAGAAGAATAGGCATATTGCATAATATACCATATCCTTGCTTCAATTAGAGAAATTCAGTGGCAGATAAAATGCCCAATAGTAAAAGATTAAGAATGTATATGTTTATCTTGATTACTCAAAGCACAAAGGTGTGATGTCGATTACCAATAAATGGGCCAGCGAAACTTATTACTGACCACTTTATCACCATAAGTATCTTCGGCTGCATGCTTGGCCACATGTGTGGCTTAGTGCTGCAGTACGCTGAGGTAAGCATACTGCAAGCTTTAAATAAGCAACAACCCAAACATGCCACCTTGCCATTTTTTTTCACCTCCTTGTACAATGCTGATAGCATGGTGTGCATGTCTCTTGGAGATAAGCAGCTCATCATCCCTGCCTTGAGCCCAAAAAATCCAGCTGCAATCTTGCACAGTCAGGAGTGGAGTGAGTACAAGCACTCTCATGGCAAATCAGTACTTCCAGTACAGCATAGGTCGGCACTTTGAGAGACTACTCGCTCATACTCACTCACCACAATTTTTTCAGCCTTCACCCTCACTCACGTTCATACTCACATCTACTCCCACTCATAGGCCCTCACTCACGTTCATACTCACGCCTACTCGCACTCATGAGTACTCACTAACGTTCATACTCCCTCTTTGTCACACTCAGAGTACTCACTCACGTTCATACTCACTCCTTCTCACACTCAAAGTACTCACTCACGTTCATACTCGCTCCTTGTCACACTCAGAGTACTCACTCATATTTATACTCACTCCTACTCACCCTCATGAGTACTCACTCACATTCAAACTCACTTCTACTCACACTGAGAGTACTCATTCACGTTCATACTCCCTCTTACTCATACTCATGAGTACTCACTCACGTTCATACTCACTTATACTCATACTCAGAGTACTCACTCACGTTCAAACTTATGCCAATTCACACTCTAGGCCCTCACTCGTGTTCATACTCACGACTACTCACACTGATGAGTACTCACTCATTTCATACTCACGACTACTCATACTTGTGAGTACTCACTCACGTTCATACTCACGCCAGCTAGCACTCATAGGCCCTCACTCATGTTCATACTCACGACTACTCACACTGATGAGTACTCACTCATGTTCATACTCACGCCTACTCACAGTCACTCACGTTCATACTCACGCCTACTCACACTCTTAGAGAAACACGGACTGGCTGGGCGAGTTGGTAATTCATTTTAACTGAGGTGCGCAAAAAATTGAAGTACAAAAGGAAGACACTTCGAGACAGCGCACCGTGTCCAGGTGTCTCTTTTTTGTACTTCAATTTTTCGTGCACCTCAATTAAGACTCATAGTTACTCACTCATCTTCATACTCACACCTGCTCAAGATCATAGGCCCTCACTCACCTCCACACTCACATAAGAATTCACCTTCATACTTACGCCTACCCATACTCAGGTGCACTCACCCACGTACTTTTACATTCACAAACTCATCATCATCATAGCAGGACAAAGGCCTCTCCCCTGTTCCGCCAGTCAACTCGGTCCTTTGCTTGCTGTTGCCACTTCATACCCGCAAACTTCCTAATTTCACCTGCCCACCAAACTTTGCCTCCCCTTTTACCGTTTTCCTTCTCTTGGAATCTACAAAATAACCGGCAGAAAACGAAAGTAATGAACAACAACCTCGAAAGAAAACAGCGCTTCGAGATAGGTGGCAGTGCACTTGAAATTGGAAAAGGTATATACGTCTACTTAGGACAGGTAGTACCTACGAAGCCGAGCCACGAGACTGAAGTATCTAGAAGAACAAGAGTGGGGTGGAGAAGATTCGGCAAGCATTCTCAGCTCATGGCTGGTAGATTGTCACTATCCCCTCAAGACGAAGGTATATAGCAGCTGCATCTTGCCGGTACTTATCTACTGAGCAGAAACCTGGAGGCTTACAAAGAGTGTTCAGCTTAAATTGAGGACGACGCAGAGCGCGATGGAAAGGAAAATAGTGGTTGTAATCATAAGAGTCAAGAAGAGAGCAGAGTGGATCAGGGAACAAACCGGGGTTAAAGATATCATAGTTGAAATTAAAAAGAAGAAATGGACATGGGCCGGGCATGTAGCGCGTAGGCAGGATAACAGCTGGTCATTAAGCATAACTGACCGGATTTCCAGAACAAACGGGTTAGGGGGAGACTGTAAGTTAGGTGGGCAGATGAGATTATGAAGTTCGCGGGTACATAATGGCAGCAGCAAGCACAGGACCAAGTTGAGTGGCGGATCATGGGAGAGGCCTTTGTCCTGCAGTGGACGTTGTCAGGCCGATGATGAATATTAACATGGAGGTAGCATTACGTGTACTCAGGTTACTCAATAAACAATCGAGCTGAACAATTGTCGCTTTCTTTAAGGGTCGGTAGGTCCACAAACAGGCAATGACTCAGCGCAATTACGACGCACCTGTACATTCATTTGTGTGCCATGACGCGTAGGAGACGCTGAGACATAGTTTAAAATCTCAGTAATGTGTTACAAGCACTCAAAATGCTTTTTCGTAGGCTACGACACACGCGCGCGAAATAGAGACGCTCTCGACAGCTTCAGTATACTACACGGCCGCCGCTGATTACCCGCCAGAACCCAAGGCGTTGCCATGCCATCCGGCTCGGCCGCTTCGTTCGTTCCACTGCCCCTAGCCCCTTCTGACTGCACTAGCGGGACAGGCGGGCGCCGCGGCCACCCCGGCCACTGGTAGGTGTTCTGTGGCCCGGCGCGACTGTCGAGACAGCGCCTCCCCTTTCTGCCTCGCCTTCAGATGGAATGCGTTGCGTACGGCAGTTTTGCATTCGAGAAATTGTGCGCATCTTCGGAGATGTTTTCCTTCCTCTGTGGGTTGCGCTCACGCGGAGACTTCGTTGGCTCCGTGCCGGCACTGACGATTGCAGGGGGCCTTATTTATGGATCTGCGGACGCAATTAACATTCATTGGCAGTGTGTGTACACAGGGTTATCGCGGACAGCCGAATAAAATGGTAATTAACGAGTTGTGTTATGTGTGTTTTTGTATTAGCCCCCGGTATGTGAATGATAGAATAAATTATCAAGGGTGATTGGGCCCTTATTGCACATTGTGTCTACACTGTTGGAGGCATAATAAGCCGCCGAAAAGTGAAGTGAGGGTAGAGATTGAAACGGCGATGCGAACAGGGTCCGATTACGCTATCGCATACTATACTATTGACGGTGAAGCTCAACCGTCCTCCAAGCTTTCCTTTTTTTTTTCTTAATGGGGCACTGAGAAGGCGAAGTTTGCACACAGCTTCGCGTTTGAGATGTCATGAGATCACTTAAGGTTTTCGTTCAAGGCAACCTTCACTTGAGGGACAACGCAAGAGATAGAAACTGCAAAATCGCTGCGCACAATGTGCGTCGCGCACACAATGTGCTTTCTCTCGCGGGCCATTTCAGCGTTTTTTTTTGTCGCTTGTGCAGTGCATTTCTTTTTTCTGAACCGGCTCGCGCGGCGATTTTTCTTAAAGGGCTTCTCAAGACCTTGTTTTACATGTATTATCAGCGGGTTGCGTAGACTGAAGGCGCAAGAGGTAAGTGCAGCAAGAACGGTAGCTATAGGGACAGGCAGTTCAAAGTTATTCAGCCCAGAAAATTCAAATTACAATAAAATGGACGGCTACCCTCAACTCGAGTTTTGCGCGGTCACCTCGCCCTCCCCCCATCTGATGTACGATGGCTTCCCAGTTTCCAAACTAAGTGAAGGCTTTTACGTACAGTAAGCTTGCATGCCATAGTGCCTGTTATTTCCAATGTATTGAGGATGCCGTTGCGATGGTTACAAATATTTATCACACTCATAGTAACTCACTCATGTTCCTACTCGTTGCTACTTACACTCACAGCAACTCACTCACCTTCACAGTCAAGTCTACTCACACTCATGAGTACTCACCCACGTTCGTACTTACTCCTACTCACATTCATGAGCTCTCACTCACTCCTAATCACACTCATGAATACTCACTCACGTTCATACTAAGAATACTCACACTCATCAGTACTCACTCATGTTCAAACTCCTACTCACTCACGTTCTCACTCACGTTCATACTCTCTCCTTCTCACACTCAGAGTACTCACTCACGTTCATACTCACTCCTACTCACACTCACAAGCTCTCACTCATTCCTACTCACACTGATGAATACTCACTCATGTTCATACTCACGGATACTCACTCTGATGAGTACTCACTCACGTTCAAATTCACATCTACTCACACTCATGAGTACTCACTCACGTTCATACTCACTCATACTCACACTCAAAGTACTCACTCACGTTCATACTCACTCTTACTCATACTCACAATACTCACTTACGTTCATACTCAATTCTACTCACGCTCAGAATTCTCACTCACATTCATACTCACTTATACTCACACTCAGAATAATCACTCACGTTCATACTCACTCCTATTCACACTCAGAATACTTATTCACATTCATACTCACTCCTACTGACACTCATGAGCACCCACTCACGTTCATACTCACTTCTACTCACACTGAAAGTACTCACTCACGTCCATTCTCACTCCTACTCATACTCATAAGCACTCACTCACGTTCTACTCACTCCTACTCATACTCATCAGTACTCACTCATACTCACACTCACCACATTCAAATGAGTATGAATGAGTGTGAGTGAGTGTAATCATGAGTGAGTATGCCGAGCTATGCAGTACAGCAATAACCTCGGCAGCGACAGTGTGAAATTATAGTAGGTGGTGCACTGGAGACAACAAGCTACACTCAAGACAAGCTACATATCAAAACACTTGAATTCTTTTTAAATAAAGTGATTCTTGTTGAGTTTTGTGTCTTTCAGTTACATGAAACTTTGGATAAGTGGATTACATTTGTATGTCTCTTCAAGTTACATTAAAAGGGTCTACTGCGATTTGTGCACATTTGTTTGGCTCCTCATAGATACAGGGAACTCGATCTTAGTACAGTGAATGGATTCTCAGTTTTCACATGTTTCTGCAATGGCAAGTTACTTTGCGTCTTTGTTTCACTCATGTTTACACGATTGTTCTGCTATCCTGCAAAGCCATTCACGGACAAGGCTATTGGCTTCTAAGTGTCTGTTTGTGGGTATTCCCAACTCTTTGCTAATTGGGATTCAAAATTTCCATATTATGTTATTACCACAGCAGCTTAAAAGGCAATGTGTCGCACTGCTAAGCTTGGGAGTGCGAGTTCGATTTTCGGCCACTGAAGCCACATTTTTATGAGGGTGAAATGCAAAATACACCCACGTACTTGGATTGAAAAGCAAGTTAAAGAACACCAGGTGATCAAAATTGACCCAGAGTCATCCACTATGGCATGCCTCATGATCATATTGAGGTTATAGCTTGTAAATCTTATAAATGATTGTAATTATATTCTTTATTATCAGGTTTAAGACCATGAGGCATCATTAATATATAAGGGGTTACTGAGATACTTCAGCCTCTACCTGTGTACTCTGCTAAAAATGTTAGGTTTTCTGATCTTTGACAGAAGCTACATATTTTTATTTGTATACTTAAGACTAAAAGTTGCTGGTACAATAAGGTCTTATAACGAGTACTTGGGAAAATATAATGGCTCATTTCGTAGCAATAATAGATTTATGCACTCCATCCCGTAGATGCTGTGAACACTTCATTTTGTTTGGTGCAACTAGTCTTTGAAAACTAGAAGTGTTTTAATAACAAATCAGCCTTCCGGCTTCATACTATTTAGTGCTTGTATTTAGTGTGTGCATGGTGCTTTCCACACAGGGTCAGCCACCATGGTAGCACATCTGACTGCGAGTCGGACTCTGATGCTGTGGATCGCAGTGGAGCTGGACGCGATTGTGGAGGATTCTCTGCGGCAATGTGGGAGCGAATTCGTTTCTTGCGCATGGCCAGCTCTGAATCCACAAAGGACAGCAACAGACACCAGGAGCGAGCAGGGTCAGTAGAAAGCAAGAGGTGGGCTGGTTTGGAATTTTTTGACCAATTTTTTTACCAGCTATTTCCAGACAAACCCCTGGATAAAGTGCAAATTTTGTCATTTTTGGCGGTGTTACTGAGGCAATACAATAATTGTTTTAGTTTTCAACGAGAATTCATTGTTTCCAGTTTCAACACACAGTGTAATCTAGTTAATCAATTTTCACTGGCATTAAAAATCAAAATGAAATATGTGGAAATCTCATTATCAAAACAGGGCCGCAGTGTTTGCAAACAGTATGTACTGTACATGGCAAACACCTTGCTTTTATAAAAAAACATCAAAATAGTCTGTCATTTTGACTAAACTTTTTGTTTTTCAAAGTCTCACAGGGCATTTTTTTTTTTTGGAAGTTGCAGAAACGAGCAGCAGTGTTATCAATGAACTCCTCACCTGCGACATTGATATGAAACGCATTTAAAGCTTCTAATGCATATTCAGTTACTTGCCAAGAATCGCTTGTACAATCTCTCACGTTTTCGTTGTCATCATTGGACTACCACAACTTCTAGGGTGCCTCGATGGCAAACACTGCATGGGTGTAGTGCCTATTGGTGCGAAAATTGAAACCATGCAATGTTTTCAGACATTTTTGCAATCGTATTATCCAAGTCCACACGAGAATACAATTTTGTTAGCCACAAGGAAATGGATTACCTCTATGGGGCATTAGCCAGGAATACAAGAAAGAGAATATTATGCCAAAAAACGTAATAAATGGAATCGTATCAACAAGATTTCACTTCAGATATCATTATGCACATTTACTGAAGCGTGGTGCTTAGCTTATTAAGCAAGGTGCTACCCAAAAGAAACATTGACAAGAAGAGAACAAGGACAGGCGCAGACTCACAACTGGATTTCATTTAGAACAACACGTATTTATACCATAAAAACAGCGTTTTCATAGTTTTCGAAGTAGTGAGGCTGGGCTGCTTCAGCTGCCACTCATTAGTACCCTTACGTTGCACTGCTTTTTGGCTCTTAAGGGCTGTCATTTCTGCTGATTCGCAGGGAATTCGGGATCGGTAATCCGCATATGGCACCCAAAGTTTTGGAATTAACCGTACTGGTGCTGACTGGGGCTTCAAGTTATCCACTCAGTCTCGCATTGCAAAATACGAGACTGCAGAAATATTTTTAATGAAGTGGGATTTCGAAATATCTGAGTTCGAATTAATGAAGTTTTACTGTAATTGCTATTCACATAAAAACAAAATGGCTTTCACCTTCAAGTTGTTTTAAACAAGTACATAGGGTACGCTGTGAGTTGTTTTTTTTTCTTTTTGCACTGCTTTTTAGAGGACACGATGGTGTTTTCGGTGTACAGACAGAATGCCCTAGTCATATAAAACTTCGCTGCAAAAGGAAAATAAAGTTCATTAAACACATAGTTCACTGTTAAACACACTTTCTGACACTTACGTGGAATCTCGATTGAAGAGTGTCTTCATATCTGGGCAATTTAGTGCAATCCCAAATGATAGCCTGAAAGCACTGTGAGAGGCCTCAGAAAGAAAGAAGCGAGTGTCGAAGGAGGTTTGCTTTATGAGGCTAGCCAGGCTAGGTCATGTGACGCCCAGCAACATAATATAGAAAAAGAACCTCTCTTTCTCTTGGAGTCTTCATAGGGGGATGCATTTGGGACAGTCTGAGTCTTTAGCATTGAGACATTGTTGTACTTTGCAGCATTTGTCTGTTAATAAGCATGTAGATGTAGTTAGATGTTATTTCATGAAGTACAATTTTATTGAACCAGTATTCTGTTTAGTTGCTATGAAAATAATTGCTGAACATGTTGTTCCGGAACAATCAACTACATGTACAGGATGTCCTTATTCTTTCTAAAACACAGTGGTATGTTAGTTGGTTTGCATCCATATTTATGCATCATAGATTAAAGTAAGGAGTTCCCTTGAGATGATTGCTTCCATGAGATTGGCAATGAATCGAAATACTATATTTCTAGGTTTTCACAAGGGCCCCAAAATATATATTCAGGTCCGTGAATGTAAATGCAACTTGTTTCTCTACTGTACTCTAAGATATGAAGTTAGCAGCTCCTGAGTGCTCCCTGATGCAAAGTTACCTGCTTCATAGTGCTCCAAAATGAAAATTTTTGTAACTTCAAAGTGCTCCAAAATGGCAATTTTGCTGCGATAAAAATTGCTCCAAATCAGAAGACCTCGGTAGTATCGCTGTATTTTAGGCTTGTGCGAATGTTCTGATGTTTTGAATATTTGAAGGAATAGTTGAGTATTCGAATGCGCTTCGGTTAGAATTTAAGTTAACGAATATTTTCGAAGTATTTGCAATGAATGAATAGGTGTAAATTAATCCGCATGTCACCATTTGTAAAGGTGGTTTCACTGCAGTGTAAGAGTGATAAGCCGTGAAAACATTTATTTAGGTGAAATTCGTTTTGCCGCGAAGCTCTCCTTTAAATTTGAAGGGGCTCTGTAACACTTATTGAACATGGTCGGAAAACGCTGATTGGTAGTAGAGGCTACCGAGAATATGTGAGGCAAATATTATAGCGCAGCACGTGGCCTGTAAATCACAATAAACTTTCAAAGCTGAAAATTGCTTTCTTTCCTCGGCAAATGACATTACAAGCTCAAAAATCACTTGTCACAGCCATTGGCTGATTTGAGCATGACGCGCTCGTCGTTACCGGGACCACCGCGGGAGGCCGCTGCTTGTTCATGAGTACATGCGCGATAACTCTGAAAAGCCACGTATTCGAAGAAAAAAAAAAAAGAGGTGCTCAAGGTCACGAGGTTTGTGTGACATATTTTCTTTCGCCGTGACATTCCTCTCTGCTTAATGTCTTTCTGCTTAACTTCAAGCTATTTCGTCGGGAGGAGAAGAGAGAATGCAATTGCAATGTGCGACAAATTTGTGGAAGTCTGATCCTACTGGAATAATTCTAGAAACTTTGAGGTGGTAAATTTGTGAGGCAATAAGCATGTTTACTTGCTCCATGGTTACTTGAAAAAGTGTTGCAGGGCCCCTTTAAAGAAACATGTTACCCTCAAATCAATTCTAATTTATTAAGCCTGTTATAATAGCTTATATGATCCAAGTATAATAAATTTTAAAACATTAGGTATCTTACAGGTTATTACTCGCATCCTACTGAAACTACTACTTAAGGTTGTTTCGACTTCCTTTGAACGAAAAAAAAAAATGACATTTGCATAGAGTCTTTATTTCAGTTCAAAAGAAATATTGTGCAGGTTAGTTAGGTCATGATAAATATTTCTTTTTTTTTATTATATGTCATACATACCATTTGAATTCGATTCAAAATTATTTGATCAAAATCACTATTCGCTTCAAATTTGCTTCGAATCTAAAATTCACTATTCCCACAAGCCTACTGTATTTATACTTGTGTCATTCTTCGTTCAGATCATATAGCAGAAACAAAGCAGAAAAACTACTCATCAGGTAAAGTGCTGCTGACACCTTGAATTGCGCATTTCAACATGCCTATAGCCACAAGCAAGTGATCAACATTAAAGACCTTTCACTAAATAAGTGAAAATATCTTGGTGTGCTTCAACTGTCATTTGCGTAAAATTGAATTTTATAAGCATGTTAAAGAACAGGGATCGGCAAAGCAGAGAGGGTCCAGTTTGTGGAGCTAGCTTTACATTGCACGCTTTAATTTCAGGTTGTTGCAAGCAAAACATTATTTATATATTTTTTTTCTGGCTGATGTCTTCGAGAGACTACTGTTTTAATGCTTATTGTTAAGTATATGTTCTCATACTGTCTTACATACTCTTCTCATGCACTTAGGTCGCTGTCTGGGAACTCGGTATCAAGTGATTCTGCTATTGGTCATGGAGACTCTGTCCTCTCTCTGCGCCTGCATGAGCTGGAAGCTGAGCTTATGTGAGAAATTATGATTCTTTCATATTGACAAAAAAAAATTATATGGCGAGTTTATATATTTTATACTTATTGACATCTTGAAATTAAGTAAAAGTATTTTATTGTGCTCGTCATAGCTGCAAGTTCATGTTTTCACATATCTTGCACCTTTTCTATTTTCTTTTATGATGGGGGGAGGGGGGTCGCTACATGATTTCAGATGAAATAGCCTCAGTTTATAATATCACAATGTACTTTTTAAAATATCATTGTATGTTGACTTCACTTCTGCAAAAGCTTACTGTTGTTCAAACTTTACAATGGTGTGAGAATTAAGAGTATGTTTACTCAGAATAAACAATGTAGCAATGGCTTGTCGAGGAGTCTTGGCTTTGGTTTGCTGTGATATTGCAGTATGCTTCTTACTCCTGTATTGATAAGCGCTTTTTGACTTGAACCTGACTTGAAACCGCCTTCGATGCAGCGCGTTGGAAACGCATCTGTGCATTTGTGCTGCCTTGGCACCATCTGAAGACAGCGTATTCGAAACGAGTTTGTGCTGCATTGAAGTCGATGGCAAGCCAAGTTCAAGTCAAGCAGCGTTTCTGAATACGGGGGTATTCTCTTGTTTCTTCGAAGTGTATTGACTACTGTGTATGAATGTGTGTTAATTTGGTAATTGCAGCATTGCAGTACTCTCTGATGCTGGCACACAAAAAAAAGGAAAGAACAGAGTACTATAGCATTGTATGCAGTGATGCAACAAACATGCAACAAACTCTATGTTGTCAGAAAAAGTTTGTCACATCTAAAGTTACACTGAAATGAGCGGTTAACAAAATACATTAATTAACATTTGAATTATGAACTTCAGGGCAGTTGTTTATATTGAAAAGTTGTAGGCAGTGACAATTTAAGGCATACCCATTTTTTGTAAATCTCAAAATATGCGCTCAATTTGAGGTATTAATTATCAAAACGGAAGGACCTAATTAAGGTATTGCCAAAAGTAAGCACTGTGAGTGTGCAGGAAATTCGCCATCTTGGTTATGCAGGACTGGAAAGCTCACATGACACTTTCGAAAAAGGCTTGTTGCAGGAGATTTCAGGCCGAAGAAATGCCAAATCATTGTAAATACCACTTATTGTTTTCGTTTATTGTGCAGTGCCGATATGTTTCTTTGTTAAACTCTAATGAAATGCGAATAACTCTTTTCACTTGTCTGTGAAAGTAGCACCACAGACGCTGCCACCAAAATTTTTGCTGTACAGTAAAAGAAAAGACAAAAATTGCTGTTTTCATATTTACAGCATGAGAGCCCTGCATTTTGATCATTAATATCTCTAGCTGTGTGCATTTTTCGAGATTTTAAAAAGTTGGTATGCCATAAATTGTCATGTCGGACAACTTTTCAATTTAAACAATTGCCCTCATGTTAATAATATAAGAATTTAGTTCATAAGTTTTGTTAGTTGCTCATTTCAGTGCAACTTTAGGTGCAGCAAAGTTTTTCTGCCTTGGTGTAGAGTTTGCGTGAAGGTGACAAAGGCTTGACAATTTTCACAAAAAATCTGTATTTTCTAAAAGAAAAACACCCTGTATGACTATAGTGGCTAGAAAGGTTTACCCAGTGTCGTGAACATGCGCCTTTCCCAGTGGCAGCAGAGAAACCAGATTCTATGCACAGTGTGGTGGCACCGTCTGTTGCTGATGCGTCCACAAGTAGCGAGTGCAGGGTGAGGACGGGGTGCAGCTGGCAGCAAAGCAATGACGTCATTGTCTCAGAAATACTGCCCAAAACATTTGCAGAAGATTTTAATGCTCACAAGTTTTCATTATTCGAGACCAATCACTGAGAAACTAAACTGTGAAAATTCTACTTTTGCGGCCCACGTGAAAAGTCTGCATATGCAGATGCTAGCAGACCAACATATTTTTCACGTTGTGAACATAATGTTAGCTGTCTTATCATCGCATTTTCCTTACAATGCAGTTTTAAATGTGAAGTACTTTTTTGAAGTGCTCAAACTGCCAACAAACGCACTTTGAGTACTTCTATACCTTTCTATATATATAGATATATGTATATATCATATCGCCGCCTAAGTATATACATAGCACGTACGTCTCTGTCCTCTATACAGTATACTCTTGATAATTCAAACTCTGATAATTAATACTTTCAGATTATTGAAACAAAATTCAATTTTTTGGTCGGCCCACTATTTTTTCAATGTATTGAACAGCCTCTTAATTCAAACTCCTGCATTTGATTTATTCATACTTTTTGCAGTTTCATATCGGTTTCATATAATTTCAGTTTCAAAATATCTGCTGCTTTCCCACTACTATTTAAAAGTTTGCGTGCTTATATAAATGTAAGTCTAAAAATAAGTGCCTTAAGCCTTCAAGAAAAAAGGCTTTGCTAGTAAAGAAATATTTGAAACGAAGCACATGAATGGTAAACCGTGATGCTTCTCAAATGGTATAGAGAGCTTTGTGTTGAAGGCCCATTTAGCAAAGAAGCAGTTGGAAATAGACAATTTTTTTAAAAGGTTGAATCAGCAGTAAATGGCTGATAAATGTAAGGCTCTTACACCTCTGCTTTCTGTTCATTGCATGCAGTCAGGGTTTAAACTCTCTAAAAAATTTTAAATCTGATAGAATCAATGACTAATCATAAAGTATGGTATCACCTCGCCCACAGTCATATATCTGAGAACTTCTGATTATTCAAACTTATTGATAATTCAAATGAAATTCAGAGATAGCTTTGACTTTGATTTAACAAGAGTCAACTTAGTTGTCATCTCTTAACCTGGTATAAACCAAAATTAGAAAATGAGCATGTGAGAGTGTGATGAACATGACTGACAGATCACGAAATGCATAGGATGATATTCTTGTCGCTCACGTCGTGATCCCTTTCCCTCACTCACGTGTGGCACATATACCTGTATAACACAGGCCATAGAATGCTCGTATATATATCCGTCTCAGGGCCATTCAAAGAATAGCAATAAAAATACCCATTTCCCAGAAAATCTCAATAGATGCAAAGAGTGAAAGTTATGGATACATCCAAGGTAGAAACATGCAGGGCATTGCGTCTACTTGGGCAGTAACTTATCACAGAGCCACACCTGATGCTTGAACATCCTGCAGAAAAAGATTTTAGTTGTGATGTCAGGGCAACTTTAATTGTGGTTGCTGTTTTGGTTTACCGCTTTGGTAACAATGCAATAAGCATAGGCATGCGCAGGGTTCCCCTTCAGAGGGTGAGCGAAGCTCCCTTCTAGTGCCGGGCCCCCCTACCTAGCTATTATGTCAATGTATAGGGCTCACACACACATTCCCTCTTAGGTATATAGTAACCACGGTAAATAGGAACGCCATTCTGGAAGGCTCCAGAAAGTTTGATTATTACCTGTTATTCTCTAACATGCACCGACATCACACATACATTAGCAGGCCCTCTAGCATTTGGCCTCCATTGAAATGCGATTGCCGCGACCGGGATCGAGCCCTCATTTTTCAGGTCAGAGGCTGAGCACCGGCCGTAACCGCTACACCACCCCGACAGTCTCATTGTATCGCTGCTGTGTACAGAAAAAGCACCAGCGAGGACGTTTTTTATGCCGCGCCCAGTGACGTAGCCAAAGAGTGGCACACCGGACTCAAGCCCCCTCTCCCCCCACCTCCGACGAATTTTTTCCGCCACAGCATACAGAGCGAGAAATGGCCACTTCAAAAAAAGTGTGCTCCCCCCTCCCCCCTTCACCGTCGAAAAATAAATTTCTGCCTACGCTCCTGGACGAGCCTGCAAGTGAGCTCATATACTAACTAAATGCGTGGGGTAGAAAAAAGGTAAAAAACGTCATGCCTGCATATCCTTTGCTGACTGAAATTGAAGGGAGAAAGGGGCACCGGTACATCCCCTGGCTGTTGAATTTAGAGCCGACACTGATATTTTGGTAGCAGTTGCAATTTTATTCCCAGCTGCGTCTTGAAAAGTTTGTGTTGTACTTGCGTGCAACTGAAGATATTTCTAGCCGCTTCGACGCACCGTGCCTGAAAAGAAAGGGAACTTGTGTTGTATCGTTATGTAAGGAAGTCGTGCGAAGAAAAGGTATAGTCCTATTCAGAGCTCCTGCGGAGCCAGTACAGCTGTAAGAGGGGGGGCGGGGCAAAACATCAAGAGAGGTTCCTATGCGTACATACATTCCATTTCACTGTTTTTTATTATTATTACTTTAGTTTTTTGTTTTAATTTTCTATATGTGAGCCTGTGTTTTCCTTTCACTGTTTACTCTCACTCGGCACCAAAATGTTTGTCATGGTGTCCTTTTCACTGTTTATTATATTTTATGCTTTTGATGTAACCACTATAATTGTCTGTGAATATTTTTACTGTTGTACTCAAACATCACTCTGTGAAAAAGAATGTTATTGAACTGGAACCCCGAATATCCTACATGTATGTTCTGTGTGTGCTATATATGCTGTGAGCATGTGGAATTCTGAAGAAACTGTAACCTGCCCGCATAGTCCTTATACACGTACCTCTTTTTTTTTGTTTACAATTTATCGGCACCATGCATGGTGAACACAACGCGCTTGTACCGCAGTTGCAATGCGAGTAACTCATTGGGGTGGGAGCTGATGCAGGCAAACGAAGTGCCTCAGCGAGCGGCTGCGCCCTCTGGAGGCTGTATCCTAAACTCTTTCAGTCTCCCCGCCTCGTTTATGACACTAGATAAACCTTTATAGCTACTGCAGTGTGACTAAAAATGAGATATTGGGAATAACCACTGTGCAGCAGTAAGCTTCATGCAAATTCATACGGATTTCTTAGAAAGAAAGCCTCTTGGTTACCGAAAATTTTGTTATGGTCCAGGGATCAGAGCCAGGACCAACGCCTTTTCTGGGCAGTCACTCTGCCACTTTAACTAACCAGGAATGTAGCAGTCGGCAGTGCAAGGGTGAATTTATTGACAACTTGGAGCACATGGAGACTTGTTAGTGCGAATCAGTTCTGCAGAATCCCACAAGGTGGGGGAAAGTAAGAAAAAAAGAGGAATTCGGCAACTAAGAGGCTTTGTTTCTGAGAAATCCACATGTATTTCCTTGTGGCTATAGGCTGCAAATAGGTGGTTGTCAACTTCTTTTTCTTATTCCTTCTGCCACCTTGCGGGATTCTGCAGAACTGGTTTTTTACTGTGTATAACTCTTTTCTTATGCTGCGCTCTAAAGGTTGTATAAACAGGAATAAGATGTCTCATACAGACAGGCCAACAGTTTACTATGTTAACCAATCTCTATCAAAGGTGCCTTGTCATCATTTGTGTGCTAGTTTTAAGAGAATTAATTATTGACATCAGGTCACATGTGAAGAAAATGACTACTACTTGCGAACACAAGGGGCAAGTATGGGTGGCTCTTTTTTTGCACCAACCTACTCGAACACACTCATGGGGATTTTAGGAACCAATTTCCAATCTCCTTGCACAGACAAATCCTACTAATACCTTTGATACATAGATGACATGATTACAATACGGGGACATAGCCAGGAAGATGTAGCTAAATTTGCATCATTTTTAAATGTGTTTCGCCAAACAGGAATATTTACATCCAAATCTTCAGCCGAGTGCATAGACATTCATTGCTTAATTTTTATTATTACACATTTCACAGTACAAGATACACATGACCTGTACAGTCTCATAGCCAAGGGCTAGTACGGGGATGCAATGGCTAGTTATAGATGCAACTGTATATTTGGAGAACAGCACATCAAGTACAACTCTTTTACAAAAAACAATAATAGAATATGCCAGCCACCACCCGAGACATTGCAAACAAGGCATATTTAAAGGACCAGTAAACAACCCCGAGGTCCCAAAATTGTAACGAATAGAAATGTGCACACTTTTGCTATGTGAACTTGCTGCCACAAGAATTTCGTGAATACGTGCAATGATAAGGAAGTTGCAGGGATTTCAGCTAGTTTTGAATTCTTGCACTGCCTTGTAATCCTTCTCCTCCACAAGGAGGGGAAGGTGTAGCCGCCGTCGTAATTCTGCCCACTTTGGCAATGTGACATGATGTCAGCAATGCACGTCATTGGTGAGCTCGATCAGTCACAATGCACTTCTGCTTGCTGAGGTTCCTGGTTGTGTAATGTTGACATTGTCACACATGCTTGCATTTCTTGAAGAGTTGTATGGGGTGGGAGAAAGAGTGGTTGGGGGAAAGAAGAAGATAAAAAGGATCCCTACAATCACACTCCTTGTCGACACGCAGCCGAGGCTGAAGACCTGTTGTACAGGGGCAGTGCATGCAAGTGCTATACTGTGTGAGTAATATATGCACAACATCAGCATGTCCGAAACAGCATCACTGCAGGGCCAAAAAAAGGGGAGCAGTTTTGTACCGGTGGGTGGGAACAGAAACTGATGTTAACTTGACAACTGTTTGTTGAAACCCGGTTTAGACCAATTGAAGAGCTCAGTGGTATGTAAAGTTACCCATGGGCAACATTTCATCAATCTGCATATGAGTGGGCTTAGTCAGGCAAAAGAAAGAGGCGTGGAAATCTTTTTCAAAGTGGAGGGTCTGCGCGGCGTGCAGCACTGTAATATTTGGGCAATGTTATCGTCGCAGTCTACTGTACGAATAGGTGAGCACGTCTGGGGAGTGTAAAAAGAAAAAGTCGGTGACTGTTTACTGGCCCTTTAGATGTCCAGCAACAAGGCCACGCTGCATATGTGTTGAAAATGATGAATACATCAACAGACTTACAAACCTAACAGAAACATCAAAGTGAAGTTATTCCTAATAGGTTGCTTCATAAAGTTTATACAGACACATTAAGACTTGACCATTCTTAGACACTCAGTTCCTGCCCTAAAAACACAATAACAACAATGACTGTTCTTACCAACAAATTTTTAGACACACTACAAATATAAGCGCCTTTCTTCAAAACTACTGTCTCATCATCAGTGCTTACCAGAAGCCTTAAAGGGGCCCCGCTACACTTTTTGAGCATGGTCAGAAAATGCTGTTGATTGGTTATTGAGGCATCTGGGAACACGCAAGCCAAATATTATAGCGCAGCACGTGGCCTGGAGTTTACAATAAATTATCAGTCAGCTTAAAATCGTGTTCGTGGGAAAAAATATCTTTAACTTTTCATTGCTCTGCTCTTCCAAAAAAAGCTCTGATTTTAGCATTCACACCTTTCAGTGTAACACTCGGAAGGGTTATTTGCTTAGTTTTTAATAAATTAAATTTGAACTTACACTCTTTTATGTAAAAAAGAAATAAATATATTCTGTAAAAATGAAATTCACTGATTTGTGTCACTGCCTGGCAGCTGCTGCTCAAAGCAACTGGCCAGAGAGTGTTTCAGTATAATCTTTGCCTGATAGGTAGTTTAAGGGTATAGTATATGTGTAAAATTTACTTTAGAACTTTACTAAAATTTATATGAGTACCACTTGGTGACGCTATGAGTATAGAAACACCAGTGAGATCCTTTGTTATGAGTTCTTACTCACTTTTCCATGGCCAGCATAATTTTCACTTCGTTAAACTTTCAGCTCACATGACATGACCAAAATAAGAAAGCTTTAGCTCCATTACTTTTGCTTTGAAAAGACATTCAGGATTGATCTCTCTTATGACCAAGATATTTGCTTGTTTGGAAGTGCATTGGATTATCAAAATTCTTAAAACCAACTCCATAACCCAAAGGAATCTAACATTTTTCTCTCAGATTTTCACAAGATCTATGACTCGCACTGATAAATTACAGGGGGAGGGAAAGAGTGGGCCGTTAACTGGATGAATTTGGCTTTTGAGGCTGACATTGTTTTTTTTCCTAATATTTGAAACTCCATCTATCGCTCTCTTTTCTTATACTGTTCTTTACTTTTCTTTGTAGAAGTATTGTATGTGTCTACTCTAGATCCTAGAATAATCCACTGTTCTGTAACATGTTAGATTTGAATGCATATTATTACACTATATCGCTGTTGTTTAGTTCATCCTGCAGCCACAAATTTTGAAACTAAACTTTTGTTTTTCTCTTGATGAATTTTATTAGGGCCACAAAATGTGAGCTGGCAAAAGCTTTGAATCGAGAGACATCTCAAAAGAATACCCTTATTGAACAAGACAACCTAATTGCTGAGCTGCAGCACCGACTTCATTGTCTTGAAGCCAGTGGTGATGATTCCAGGTAAGTCGCTTTATTCAAGGCTATTTAGGTGCTTCTAGTTTTGTGGCAGCGTGACTGTATCGTATATTGAAAGGCATCTTTTAAATAACCTATGTTGTAATCGAGTTATACCCGCAAGGTGAAGCACCAATGGCAATGGCAATGCATCTGGCTTCTATGAGTAGATTTGTACATTACTGTAAACATTTACATACTGTAATTAGCAAGCATGTTGCGCATGTGCACTGGCAAACGCCAATACATCTTACTTCATGACCACAAACACTAGCTTCTTTCAGAACACTGGCATGATGAACATAGCTAACTAATTTGGGAAATACTATGTTGAGATGCTCCTTGTTGTTTTGAGGTAAGCAAGCTGCAATATTAGGTGCCCAGAAATCTAGGGATGCCGGTCGAGACAGTCACACAAAGTGAACTGTCATCTCTGCTGGCTCAACCTTCAGAAATGCTGAAGGTTACTTGCAAGGTAAAGCATGGGCATCACCTTCCATGAACTTTGCAGCACTGGGTAATGGCCTAACCCTTCTAGGGTAGAATGACCAGAAGAGACCCAAACGCTTCACCTGATGATGATGTGTGGGGTTTAACGTCCCAAAACCATCGTATGAATATGAGAGATGCCGTAGTGGAGGTCTTCGGAAATTTTGACCACCTGGGGTTCTTTAACGTGCACCCTAATCTGAGCACACGGGCCTACAACATTTCCGCCTCCATCGGAAATGCAGCCGCCGCAGCCGAGATTCGATCCCGCGACCTGCGGGTCAGCAGCCGAGTACCTTAGCCACTAGACCACAGCGGCGGGGCAAACGCTTCACCTGTGCCAAAGTACTAGCACTGGTTAACATTACTAGGTCTGTAAACAGTTCTCATTCAAAAAGATCTAACAACTGACTATTTCTTCAATTTTGAAATCAATTTTGTCCAGAGTCTCAGCTTAATTTTGGCATATTACTTGATCATGCCATAGTTTTACTTTTATTAGAGTGATATAATTTTCCTTCATAAGCTATTTTGGTATGATGGCAATTATTGCATTGCTTCAGAAAGGTCATTTTTCCGAGCTGACACTTTGTGATTAAGGTTGATACCTCCTAAAATTTTTTTTTTTAGTTTAGAGAAAACTCGAGCTCGAGTCCAACCACAGCTTTCATATTCAAAGGAACACTAAAGTGAAACACTAAATCAGTTTATACTAATGAACAACTTCTTCAGAACGCTATTACCATTGATGTCACAATCATAGGTTCATAATCAGATAAGAAAATAGAGCTCAAAGTTCAATTCTTGAATTTCGCTGTGGAAGCTCTTTACTTGAATGCGTCAATGTAATGCCTCAGGTTTCAATATTTCTTCATATTTTGGTTACATTGGCTGAAGAAAAAAAATTTCTGAAACTTTCTTTGTTAAATGTCTGGCTACTGGAGAACACAATAAAATTACTGATAAAGAGTTATGTAGGCACTAGAAGGTCTTACTGAAACCTATAATGTCACACCAAGTTGCAGGAACCTCAAGGTGGCGGCACCACCTGCATTTTTATTGAGGGAATTTTTTAGTTCAACAGGCTTCTTTTCACAACAGAAGTAGTACCATTTTGCGTTCTTGCGACAGGGTAATCTACTAGTACGGGTATTTCTTTTCTTTATTGTCCCTTTAAGTGCATGTGGAATGCAAAAAGGCTTTTGTAAAATGATTGGTAGATAATTTTGAATAAAATTTGTTGCACTTGATAGAAGGTCACTATTTTAGGAACTAAAGCAAGCAATATTTTAATTTAGGGCCAGGCATTCATCACAAAGATTGAGAAAAATTGGGATGCCTAAAAGAAAAATACAGTCGAACCTGATTTATAATGTAGTCCCATCTGCGACGAAAATGTGTTTGATATATTTCCTACTTGATAAAACGTAAACACAGATATCAGCTACAAGAATGGTATTATATTTGTGCAAAATAAATATGAGATGGGCTGTGACTGATTGTACAACGAAAGGCTTTCTCCAGATTCTGATGGGCCCATCAGCACCTTACTGGGCAGTATGAGGCACAAGAGCAGCAGTAAATATTGTCGTGGGGTCGTGATGTTGACAAAGGCGGCAGTTGGCATTTCCAAGATGGAACTCTTTATTTGGCTAGACTTGTGGTCCGGAAACGGATACAGGTCCGGAAACGTAAACGGATACGGTCCGAAAAGAATGCATGCTGTACACTGATATAGGCGAGCAGGATTGGCTGTCGATAATCTGTCAAGCGGTGAAGCACGTCGGTATTATACATGTGCCTTGGAAGATTTTCCACTGTTACTGCTAGCAGCCGCATAATTTCAAGAACAAAGTCTAATGTTTGCATTGTGCATGCAATCTCATCAGAAGGCTGTAATATTGTCTAAATCCAGTGATTTTCAGCCATGGATGTGTGGGGGACCCCTTGTAGACTGGTGGAAGTGATGGGGAACCCCTTGCAAAAAAGAAGAGGGAGGGGGGGGGGGGGGGAGTACGTAGGTAAATTAACACAACTGGAGCATGAAACAGGTGCCGTTTATTGCTACCAAAAACATTAAACAAATGTGCCACATCACTTCAATTTGAATAGTTCATCAATACGTGGCACAGTCGCGATTAGAGTTGCATATGCATCTGCAGGCACGTTCAACCTGTTTCAGTATTTACTTTGAGTCATGGCTGGACTAAACTCCAAGAAATGTAAAAAAAAAGTGGTTGAGGGTTTTGCGGATCACAGAAGTGGCTTCGCGGACCCCCATTTGAGAATCACTGGTCTAGGTGGTTCCCAGTCATTCGGGCGTGGCTTGCACAAGGCAGCAGTTACACATGTAATTCGTTGATAACATAAAAATATAAAGAAAGGAGCATGTATGGTGATATTGTATTTCTTCAAAAATAATTCATATCCTTGTTTAATGTACACCCAGGTGAACATGTAAAAGTCGAAGATATTACTGTACACAATGAAGGCTTGTGTCTTCATGAAATGTTTGTATATTGCATGACTCTTTCATGCCCTATCTTCTGCCGATGGCTTTGTTGAGCACCTTTACAGTGATACTGCTAAACTGCTATGCTGTAAACAGCTGCTGCTGGTGCTGCATGTACGATTCCCTAGTGCTTATTTGCAAGTCATTGCAAAGCCCTGTTCTCATTATCAATGAGATAAGCCAGGAAGGCTATAAGAATCAAGAAGAACCAAGAAGTTGGAGCTACAGAATTGCAGCTACGATCGCCATCATTGTAGAGTCCTAGGCTGTACGAGCCACAGCTTGCAATCCTCATGTGACTTTTTCTGTGTTTAGGGTTCAGTTGTTCTACTGCAATCTGTTGAATGAATCATCTACTGGTTAGCAGAGATGCTACGGGCTACATTATCTGGCACTCATTCTCAAAATACCTGCAACACTGTTTCAGATAGTGAAATAATCATTAAATAAGGCACTCAGAATGCATTATTTGGCACAGCCCTTCATCGAATGGTTGCTTTTTATGGCTATCTGAGCTTATTTCTTTCTCTGCTCATTGTATGTCTACTGGAACACCTTATGTCTGTCTGCATATTTCCCTGCATGTAGAGTTAACCACAAAAGTTTATGAAACACGCAATTGCATGCAAACTACATGTCCACACCATCAAGCAGTGGGCCAGCTAACAGTGTGCGACGTACCAGTGTGCCACATACCAGTGTGCTACATACCAGTGTGCCACATACCAGTGTGCCACGTACCAATGTCCCACCTAATACAGTGCGCCATGTAGCATTGATCACATGTATAGGCCAGAAACGGGTCTTTTTGTGATACTCCAGCAATATAGATTTTATACTGCTGTGCAGCACCTTGCTAGTTAGTTGCTTTCATGCTAAGCACTTATTTATGGTATGAGCTTCACACATACTTTTTGGTATCAGAATCAAAGCTATCACGGCTTGGTTCGGAAGGTGTGTCATTACGAAGATATCACTTTGTGAGAAAAGTTCCGACTGACAACAGTTATACTAATAGACTGCCTTCAAGACAAAATCACATGGCCACAACTACTAAAGAGTGTGTTGCTTTAAAAATTGACAGGTGGAAAATCTTTGTGTCTAGTGGGAAAATAGCTAGGCCAACGATTAAGAGGTGGATGCATACAAGGCATAGTGCTGCTGCCGATGATCGCTGATGTGCTGGAAATTTCGCGAAGATCTTGGCCATTTGCTCACATAGTCCATAAACTTTTGTGGTGACTTTACACAGCACTCGGCTGTAGCTAACAGTACTGGGTTTTTTTGATTGACTTTGACCTGGGAGTAGCTTGTTTGTTAAGAGGTGGATGCATACGATTAAGAGGTGGATGCATACAGGGCATAGTGCTGCTGCCGATGATCGCTGATGTGCTGGAAATTTCGCGAAGATCTTGGCCATTTGCTCACATAGTCTGTAAACTTTTGTGGTGACATTACACAGCACTCAGCTGTAGCTAACAGTTCTGGGTTTTTTTGGTTGACTTTGACCTGCGAGTAGCTTGTTTGTGCCTATATGTCTCAGTATTTTTATTTTTTGTGTGCTTTTAATGGCTTTATGTCTTAATATTGCATTCATGTTTGTATCTTTCAGGCCAAGCTCAAGGGGGAACAGTATGAATGTACAACGAATGAATGATAAATGCTGCATGCTACAAAGTCATAACCGATTTCTAAATGAGGAAGTCCAGAATCTGTCAAGATTATTGCAACAGCAACAGTGCCATGCTATTACATATCAAAAGTAAGCCTTCTTTAAAGCATAAGTATGGTTGCCACCTGTCCCAGTTTAGACCGGCTCGGCCAGTTTTTTTAGACAGTAGGCTAGTTGCCGGTTCGCACCTGTCGTCATTAGCCTTTTTTTTTTCAGTAGTAACCAAGTGTCATTCTAATTATGGGTATTTTATGCCAGCAAAAAGACTAGTAGATTGGCTCAGTGGGCAGTTTTTGTTTCTACATCATGTTTATTTGACTTAAGGAAAGCAATGTTACATGAAATGGCACTGCATGCCAAAGACCTAACATGGCATCTATTGTTTAACGTTAATTTAATATCCTGGTAGCTCATCCCCCTTTCCACCCTCCACCCCCCAGTTGAAGGGCTGGACATCAATTTATATGCACATGAGGGTGAAGTCTGGAACATGATTAGTAGGGTAGCAGGAAGACAAGCTTATTTACTCCTTCTTGTAAGCACACAAAGTAACAGTTGGGAACACCAGGCAAACTTCTTCAGCACATACTTTGAACACGCATCCAGCTCGTTACACATTCTGAAGTTTTTCTACACAATGAAACACTAATAAGAAAACAGAATCTAGAGCAAAAATGCACAAAACACAAGGAATACAATGCAACCTTCTGCCTAGCTGAGCTACAGACATAGCTAAACTGCTGCAATAAATCTGCCCCAGGCTCGACTATGTAGTCTAGCGATGTTAAAACACCTGCCTTCTGAAACTCAAAAAAGCCACTCAAAAAGCCCTCCTTCTGTGTAATGCTGTAAGATTTTCCGGCGAGGTTTTCTGCCTGGAAAGAAGCCATTATTCTGATTCTAAAATTGGGCAAGAACCCATTCTTAGTTTCCGAATATAGGCCTATAGCCCGAGCAAGTTATTTATGCAAGGTTTTAAAGCAAAAACTGTTAAGGATCACATGTGCCGTAGTTGTCCGACGCCGCCGCTGCCGGTGTCCGTAATCACTATCACATAAAATAAGAAAAAAAACTAAGTCAATAAGCATGCCTACCCAGTATTTTATCACAGAGCTACACCGGTGCTTTAAAACTCCATTGCAAACTGGCCTTAGGCAGGCTTGATGTTGGAAAAGAAGCCATGTATATATGAGTAATAAAGCATTTTAGAACAGCAGTGTGCTGAACTACCAGGCGTCACACAATGCGAATTGCATAGTGAGTGGGTCATCGAACGCTCCAACGCATTACAAAAGCTTCAGGGATAATTCTTCCTCGTTGTCAGCCACAATATAAAAAAATTGCACGAAATTCCTTGCAAGTGCGTAGCGAGTACCACGCTTCTCCGAAGAGTGATGAAGGATAGCATAGTGAGGCCTTCCTACTACACAAAAATTACAATTATTTATGGTGTAGGGGGTACCCTGCAAGTTTGCTTGTAGCAGTTACCCAAAAAGTGCTTTAAAAAAAAGCTCTGAAAGGCTACTCTTCCAGCTTTCACTGTGACTGTGCTGCGCGGCCGTGCAGGCCTGGGGGTCTTTCGAAAAGATGATAAACGATCAACTGCTACACTTCCTTGAAACAAACACTCTACTTGAGCCATACCAGTAGGTTTTTCAAGAGGGTAAATCCACCACTGACCACTTGGTATGTATCAAGACACATAAGCAATTCTTTCTTTGTGTGTTTCTTGATATAGAAAAGGCCTGTGACATAACATAGCACTTTGGGATATTAAGGGAGCTGTCACACTTAAGTTTACATGGAAAAATATTAAATATAACGAGTTACTTCTTAAATCATACATTCCATGTCTGAGTAGGCAATTCTTTGTCCTGAACATTGGTTTAGAAAACTGGAGTGCTACAAGGGGGTGTCCTGAGTCGTCAACTTTTTATCATCCAAATGAGTTCCTTGTCACTGTGCATTTTGTGTAACATGTTCTATTCCACGTATATTGGCTAGAGCTCTTGTAATCTTGCAAGTGTGAGTGGGAGGTTCAGCTGTTTTTGAACTAGGTTCCTAAATGGGCAGACCAAAGTGGGTTTCATACTGAATGCACGGGAAAGCATGTGCATCTTATTCTCCAGAAAGAGAGTCCTTCATCCCGATCTTCACATTGACCTGCATGGTCAATGTCTCTCTGTTAAAACAGCATAAATTCTGATGCCCGATCTTAGACACGAAGCTAACCTTCATATCACACGTCAAATCAATAAAAAACAAGTGCATAAACACGAGGAATGTTCTAAAAGTGTTGTCATGCACCATGGGGGATAGTAACAAGAATTGTCTGATGAATCTGTATAAAAGCAACATATACATGTGCCTATATTACAGGACGATAACGTATCAGTTGGTGACACCATGTGTCTTGAAGATGCTTGGCACTGGTCATTATTTAGGCATTTGCCTTTGTATAGATGCTTTTCGTACTAGCCTTATAAAAGCCTCTATGTTGAATCAAACGGGTGGTCGCTACACCTTCAGATATCCAACCTATTTTTGATATATTTCCTCGAATTGAACACGAACAAAAACACCCTTTGCACGCTGCTATCAATGATTTGCCCAGATCTAGCCTTGACGACTGTCCTCCCATGAGACAGCCGTATGCCGACTCCTCACATCAAATAGCTTGACATGGTGTCAAGCCAGTTCATGTGAGGGGTCTAGCTGAAGAGATGGGTGTGCCACTTCTTGAGCATCATTTGGTCACATCCATTGCATGTCCCCCATAATTTCAGTGGCAGTTCATAGATTGCGATTTATCTTTCGTGGAAGTTACTAAGCACACACCTGTTGCACATATCTGTACACACCTAATCGAGCTTGAACAGCAATACACTTGTCCAGAATTCTTTACCGATGCCTCAAAGTCTCACACTTTTGTGTCTTATGCTGCGGTTGGCCCATCCTTTTCAGATGCCCACATTCTGCACCATTTCATAGCAGAGGCATAAGCTATTATTGGTGGCCATCAAACATATCAAAGAATTAAAGTACTAAGGGCAGTATAGGTACCGATATTAGGTGCTCTATAACTATGCGTGTGGTGGCGAGCGAAAAAGAAGGAATTCGTTCAGGCCAACAGCAGGAGCAGAACTGAGCTTTATTCTCTTTTAACCATGGTGCATGCCGCTTGAGGAAAAAAGCTCATGGGCATGCGCATGCACCTGAGCTTGCCATAATTAATAGGCAGCCGATGAATATGATCATGGCCGCTAGAGGCAGTGCTATACACAGGTTTCTTAAATGTTGTAAAAGCTCTGAAAACCCTTAACAAGCACAAAAACTTTATCCTTGTCTTGCTCTACTCACTCTTATGCACGGTCTACACTCTCAAACAGCATATTGTAGTGTGCTGGGTGCCAGGGCGCCGCGAGATCAAAGAAAATGTGTTGGCAGACCAGCTAGCTGCATCCTTCTATGAAAACAATGTCAATACTACATTCATAGCTATCCTTGCACTAGACTTCTTTCTCTAAACAAAAGCTCAAGGCGTATTGGCAGAGATCATGAGATAGGTGCCTACAAAATAGACTAGTACATGGTGTCAAGCCACATCCTGGTATTTAGCTTGGCAATGGTACTATTGACGTTGTGCCGCACAGAAGTAATACTTACCAGGTTATAAGAACATCACACACATGCAGTATACATGCATACCTTCTGTCTGGTGGGGGTCCACCCATGCGTGAGAAATGTGCTGAACAGTTTACCATGCTTCATATTTTAATCTAATGCAACAAATTAGACACTGTTTGAAGAAAACACTTTCCATTACCCTACCGACAGCAAATACCACTTCATTCATCAATGTGCATCGATAGGGATCCGCTTTTGAAACACAATTAATTGTTCATGTTTTTAAAAAACGTGCATTATTTTCATGTGATACTATACCCAGGCAATCCATAGCATGATCTGTGAATAGAGGTCGCTGCTGTGGTGGCTACATGAAAGAAAGCAACTGCTTTTGCAGCATCTAAACTCAAGGGTGTCATTAAAGCATTTGTGCTCATACTGTATACCCATAGTTTTATTATCATGACCACTTGTCATTGATCCTTGCTACACACGTGTTGTATGTAGTGCGACATTGCACATCACTCTCATGATTTCAATATTTACACTCAAACCTCACTATAACAGCTTGTATCTTACAAGAAAGTAAGTTATATTTGTTTCAAAGGTTATTCGTAACACTATATCTATTGCAAGACCATTCTTCATTTACTTCGTTATAACTTATTTTTTGTTTATTCATGTTTGTTATATTGAGTTTTGAGTGTGTATCTTATATGCACCTTTGCTCAGAATTTTAAGGCCCTTATACAGCCACTTACCTTAATCATTGTTCACATCATTTGTCCCATAACCTGGTGCTCTTTGGCCTCTAAATGGCCCTTGCACCATAAAACACCGTATATTATCATTCATGCTGAAAGTGATCTTATAGGGACATCTGCGTAATCAGGGTGATGGGTCTCGAACAGTAGTGCTGAGAAATACTGGCTGACGCCTAGTGGGTGCCAAAGAAAAAAAGTCAGTTGCTGATGCATTGAGTTTTGCCTAAAACATCAAGGATGGCATCATCTTACACTGCTTAGTGTTGCGAAGAGCTCTTGATGCCTAATGCTGTTGCAGGCGTATCTGACTGAAGGCTCGTACTGCAGAGAGAGGTCAAGCGCAGGCATGGCTCTACATTGTGTTGTTGTTTACGACCAGTGCGACTTAGGTCTAGATATAGTGTGATCAGTATAGCTACAAAATATATGCTTACGGTCTGTGCACCATCATCATTATTAATTCCTGCGGGTTTGAGATTGGGGCTTGATAGCAGTTTGAGAAAAGTGGAGCAAGGAGATAGAGAACGATTGGAGGTCACTTCTGCTTTAGAAGGACCGAAAGCTGGGCCTGCTGGTGACAGTACTTGAACATATTTTCACACAGCACACGACTATGTCAACACAAGAGAAGAAGGGGCAAACCGCAGTGCTGACTCAAAACCATGAACGGAAGAGGGAAACATGAACGGAAACTTCTGC